ATGAAAATTGAGTGGAAAAAAAGAATATCAGGTTTTTCTAATAAACTTTTATCGTGAAGAACATGATGATGAATCAGATAGAGATTCAGGTCAATGGGAACATTAACTAAGGTTCCAATGAATCATTCTGAAGGGAAACATTATGATCATCATGATGATCAGGTGAAAGTCAGAGACTGGATCATGTTTATGATAACCATGAGCTCGAGTATGACAAGGAAAGAGATGAACATGTAATGATCTGGAATCGGTCTCATTATCTTTGAATAGTTCATGATAAGTGATGGTGAATGAATATACAAAATTCATTCTCAACAAGCATGAAGATAAAAGTGGAAACAAAACATTAGGTTTTTTTTTACTTTTCGTTTCCCACTAACATTTTATATCGGTAAAACTGTTGATATGAACAATTTAATGGCCAATTAAGCCATCAACTATCACCCTGATGAGAGCAATTAATTTAATTGTTCCAGTTAAATCACTTCCTTTCTCTAGACGGTTGAGAGTTGAATCTATTTAGATGAAAGTTTATTGTTGATATATATTAATACATCACCAAATTGTAATTATTGTTAAACTGTAAATCAGCTGATCAAATAAATGTCAACATCAACTGTTACCAGATCTGATGTGTCTCTTTTGAATCAATTGATTATCAGCTATTGATACTATTTGATGCTTTGACCATTATCATGATGGTCAATTGTATCAGTTAGTCTATGGTTATCGTCAATGAAATGTCACCATGATAATAACAAGCTCAGCAAAAAAGAGTCTTTGGAAATGAGATTCAAAAGGAGAAAGAAATGAGAGAAAGAAAATTCTAATTCTGAAAAGTTTTTATCTCCGGTTTGACTTGGAAAATTGAACTGTCAACAATTGAATTTTATTCAATTAAGAGATGTGATGATGAGAATGACCTTTGGTCAAAGTGAAAGGAAAGAGAGAGGGAAAGTTCTAGGTGAATGAAAGGAGAGCACGAAAAAGGAAAAAGTTCTGTGGAAAATAATAATTGAATCCATGAAAAAGATTGAGAATGATTATGATGCCTCGAAGTTGAAACATTCGATAATGTTCAAGAATTGGCGCATGAGTGAAATTCCAAAAGAATGAAACACTATTATGGTTATTCAGGTTTCGAACAACTTTTTTCTTCTTTACTTTCTCTCTACAGATAATTCTGTCTACGAGCCATGGATTACATGATGAGAAGAGAGAGAGAGAGAAGGCTAAGAAGAAGAGGGAATATTAACCAACTGCGCACAGAAAATTATATTAGAATTTATTCTGAACGAATTTTCTGTTTGGTGGAAGAAAAAAAACTCGAGGAAAAAATTCTTTTGTTTTTCCTTTTCTCTCTTTACCATGTACTCTAAATTCATGGTATTATTATCCAAGAAATTTATGTAATACGATTGAGTGTTCAGCTAATCAAGGTAATGATAAGTTATATCGACGAAACTTTTTCGAAAAGAAACTCTCTCTCTCTCTCTCTCTCTCTCTCTCTCTCTCTCTCTCTCTCGCAATCGAAAGTTTTTCTTATGATTAAAGTTAATTATCTCATCAATCTGGGAAGAGATTGAGTGTTTGGTCAACCAAATGACCAAAGGTAAACTGTTTGTAAGGAAAATGAAAGTTACTTTGAAAAAAAAACATTAAATATCTTCCTGAGTATAATCATTATTATCTTGTGAGATTTTTTGTTATCATGAAACAACATGATGATGAATCAATGGTTTCCAATTCTCATGAGGAAATTTGATCAATGGTTTACCATTATCATCATTATCGTTACATTTGATTCTTTTTTTTCTTCGAAGTTAGAACAAAAAAAATTCTCTTCTATCATCTTCATCATTCTTTCAATTCGTACTAAACAATATTAGTTCAACGGATTTCATGAGATATTCTGATAGACTGAATTTAGATTTGAAGAGAAGAAGAAACAAAGGAAAAGATTCCCTTCTGAGCTACTCAAGAGTCTCAATGAAATCAGAACTCTCTCTCTCTCTCTCTCTCTCTCTCTCTCTCTCTCTATTTGTAAATTCTGATTCTTTTTGATTCTCATCATGAAAGTTTCCTTTTAACATCAAGGTAAGAGACAGGGGGAGATGTAATATTGAAGGTGGAAAAAAATATTCCATTATAAAAGGTTGATAATGATGATGAGGATTTCCATTGAATCAATTGATTCAATTCTGATGATTTCTGATGATAATGATCATAGGATCATCTCTCTTCATGGAATCAGGGGAAAAGATTTTTTTTCTTCTTCTTATTCATGATAAAAGAATTTTCCTAGAATAAAATTATAGTAATCATGTTAATGTTTTCTTTTCATGATTCAGATCAACTTTAAGAATTAAAGATGAACCTGATTAGATTGAGATTATGTTGAAAAGATGAAGCTTGTTAATCATTGATCAAGATTGACAAGGTTCAAGTGATCCTCATGTTGTTATTATTTGTTCTTGGTGATTATTATCATCATTATCTATCATGTTTCCATCATCTTCATGAAAATAATTACACTTTGTTGGGATCAATGAATAACTTTCTCTCTCCACTGTTTTCAAAGTCAACAAGTAAAATTTTCATTTCTATTCTTAACTGACCAATGGTTCCAATAACAATCGCCATGACCACCAGTGAGCATCATGATTATCATCGATTCAATTTCAGAGTTCATAATAAGTTGTTTGATGAAAAAAAATGGGTGTGGTAAGGATTCAGCTTGAACAACATGGAAACTTGATGTTTATTAACTTATTCCCTGGGAGTGAAATTAGTTATGAGTTTTTATCTCTTTTTTTCACCATGAATATCATGATAGTTTCTCATGATAATTAAATGATGTTTCAAAAGGTAAATCTAAAAGTTAATTGGGTTCAATTTAATAAAAAGCTGAAACCTTATTATTGAGTTTCAGGTGAACGATTATCAAATTAAATGAACATTTCAATTCTATTATCATGATGATAATGAACATTATCAAAGGTTTAAAATTTAATTTTCAATTGATTAGTGAAAGTTAATTGTGATTATACTGTTAACTGTTGTTGAGTTAATTGTTATACAATATATAAATTGTTTACCTCTTATGGTTTGGATATTATTATTATCAGATTGAATTAACTTTGTTGTTGTTTCCACAATTAACTCAAGGGTGAAATTAAAGTTTTAATTATTTTTACCCTTGGAACACAATTAAGTGATTACTTTGATTATATAATTTCCATAGGAAATTGTATTTCACTTTACTGGGTATTCATGATTATGTTTTCACGTCATGATCATGTTATCACTCAATCTCTGAATCAACTCATGAACTCATGTTCATGATGAGATGAAGTTTTCAAAAACATCCAAAAGTTAACTGTGACTTAGATATAATTTATATATATATAAATTGTATCATTATCTTCATGATAAAATCTCATGTTGGAATAGTGATTGAGAAAAAAATTCGAGTAGAACTTTTTTTTTGTTCTCTTGTTCTTTTTTGTCATCAAAATCATCATCATCTTCTTCTTCTTCTTTGTCTTCTTCATTCTAAGCTTGTTGTTGTTGTCACAATTTCGATTTTCTCATGTTAAGGGTCAATCAACAATTCTAATTGAATTTAAACGAAAAACATTTAACATGGTCAAGAACAGAAAGGAAACTTTTCTCAGAAACCAAATCAAGTCTCTCTCTCTCTCTCTCGCCCTTTCGGTGTAATAAGTATCTAATTCATCATGATTGTAACTGAATATCGTATTAGTGATGAAATATGATGATGATAATGTTCAGCGAACATGATTATCGGTTAAACAGTAGGAACAAAGGAGAAAATGATGAAGAAATAAAAACAAAATGATTTCCTTTTTTTCTGATAACAATATTATCGATTATTGTTATTTACATGGGAAGTCATATATTCACACACAGGGAAAATTGTTCAGTAATAAGTAATCATAATCATGGAGATGATTGAAAAAGCAACAAGCTTATTCCAAGTAAATGTTTGTTTTCCTTTCGATTGTTATGATAATAAAAAAATTTCCTTCGAATATAAGTTTTCATCTTCTTTACTCCCATGAAAATAACAATATCTTAGTTTCCATCATCATCATGGAACATGGCTGAACATCAACACTTTATTCCAGAGTAAGAAAACATGGTCATAATTTATCATTGGAATGAAAACTTGAAATAGAAAATTTTCTCCAAAAACTATTGATATTGATTGAGAAAACTTTTTTTCTTTACAATTGTTTACAATCTCCAAGGTCAAGGATAACAATATTTGACCTTAAAAGGTCATTTAGTTTGATTGTCCTCTAAATGGGTCAATTTAAACTCGAGGAAAGTTGATAACTATCTTGATCCATTGTAATGAACAAATCATTTAATCAGAATTCAATTGTTCACCATGTTAACAATTCATTTCTCGTAAACTTTTTTCATTAATCTCATTCTCATGGTAATAGTAATCATAATCAATTGATGATGAGTAAATTTCAATATATATTAATAATTTAAGATGAAATCGCCTCAGGTTATCATCATCATCTTTCAATAACAATAATAATAATATTTGATGTTCATCTTTCTTACTCTTATTTCATGATAATTTCATAGATAAATCATGAATTGGGTTAAATGGATCATGATGATGATTTGAATTTGATGTTAAAAGGTCAAAAAATATGAGAGAAACAAAAAATATTATCAAATAATATCAGTTACCATGATATCTCAACCATGAACTCATATCATGGTAACATTATAATGATTCTGATAAATTGTGACAATAAATTATATTGGCAATGACATTTTCATAATAATAACAATGATAACAACCACCATCATCATCATCATCATCATCATCATGATTAAATTCAGGTATAAAAACAATCAACCCAAATTTGAATTTGCAAAAAATTAAATTGATAAAAAAAATGACAACAGATTAGGATTAAAGGTGAAAGGATTAACCCAAAGGATAATCTTACCTTACTACTTGGTTGGTGACATTTATTTGTCCCGATAAGAGGGATAGTAATTAAATTAATTGTTGATGTTGATGTTGATTGAGATGATGGTTTATTTATTGATGATTCTGTTGATAATGTTGATGATGTTGTTCCTGTTGTTGTTGTTGTTGTTGTTGCTGATAATGATGATAATGATGATGATGATGTTGTTGGTTCTGTTGTTAGTGTTGATTTAATTGTTTCCATAATTGTCATAAATGATGGTTGATAATCACACTGGTTAATATCAATTGAATTAATATCTATATCAACTGAGATGATTCCTCTTAATATACAAGAATCAGCTGTTTCCATGATGATCAAAGATGTATATGAAAATAACCATATCTTATAATCACATGAATAATATGCATTTGTCCAGCTAGTAAATTTAGGACACTTATTATTATTATTACTGTGGTCATTATTATTATTGGGGTCATTTTTATTACTATTATTATTGCTCATCATGTTGGACTTGTTTTTATTGTTTATCATGATTTTCTTGGTGTTGGAACTTGAGTTTAAATTATTTGAATTGGTTGCTTTCTTATTATCATTACTATTGTGATGATCATTTTGATTGTTTGATGAGGATGAGGATGAGGATGATGATGATGATAAGTTGTTGTTGTTGTTGTTGTTGGTTGGGATTGGGAGGTTGGCTGATGATGGTTTTGGATTATCATTGTTATTATTTAAGTCAATTGGTTGTTGGAATGATGATAATTGTGATCTTAAGATGTATTGTTGTGTTAACAGTTGATCGAAAAGTTTTTCTTGTTCAATTGATTTAAATTGAAAATCTAACCAAGGTTCGAATGGAGAAATGGTTCGATTAATGTTCAAATATGTATAAGTGTTTAAAGGTCGTTTACGTTTCGTTGTTGTGTAGTAATAAGTTGGTTTAATGTTATGATTTATCGTTATACTAGTTGGAATCAAGGATGAACTTGATTGTTGATTTAGTTTGGAGATGTCTGTGTTTATATTTTGTTCATTTAGCCAAATTATTTTCGCATGAATTATGTCCTTGTCAAGGTCAATCATGTGATGGAATGATTTTTTCAAGAATCGATAATTATCAGTTTGAGATTTGTAATCATGAAGAATTGCATTGAGAAGATCAACTCGAGCGGCAGTTTGATTATATTTTAAACGCAAAGAGTGCGGGGGAATCTCATGTAAGGGTGAAGAAGCATAAACCAAAGGGTGTGAGGGTATTGATTGTTTCTTGGGGTGGGAAGAGGCCGATGAGGTAACGGAAGAAGGTACCGAACCGGAAGGCATTTGTAATTTACTGCTAAAAGTGATCTGATTAGTTGAATCTATTTCGTACAAGGATGATGACGATGATGGAGACAAAGGTAAACCGGAAGAAGGAGATGAAGATGAAGATGATGATGAAGTACTTGGCAAGTTTCGTATTGAATCATCGGCAACGTGACCATGAAAACGACACCAATCACCTCGAGAGATACGATCGATATAAGAAAGTATCGATTCTTGTGACATTGTTATTGATCCTTTAGGTAAACCTCGACCTCGACTCAAGATGATTAGTTCATTTTCTGAATTGGAGATTGAATTTTCAATTATTTCTTTCAGTCCATTTCCACTCTCTCCTCCATCTAATCCAATAACATCTCTCTCAACACCTTCATTCATCATCATCATTGAATCATCATTCTCTTCATCCTGACCATTAACCACATCACCACCGTTACCTGAATTGTCATCATCATTAACATCATCAGCACCATTACTATCATCATAATTAGTTTCATCTTCTGAATCAACTGAAGTCTCATCAAATCTTGCATCATGTATTGATGATCCATGTGAAGATGATGATGGATGAGAATGATAATTGGAAAAAGATGAAGATGATAACAAGTGAGAGTTAGAAGATGATGAAGATAAACCAACTTGGTGAGATCTTAAATTTCTGTAAATTGGATAATAATTTGTTGGAAGATAAAATCTTTTATCTTCATCTAATGACCATGAGAATGGTGTTGATGTAGTGGACACAATGGTGGACACAAGACACTTGAAGATAATCATTAGAATCCAAAATGATTTACAATTAAATGAACAATTAATTGAACATAAACCGGATGAAAATAGATTAACAATAACAATCAATTTACGAGGTAAATTGATAACTTTCATTTTATCCTGATTAACTTGATTACTGTTCCTCATTTCCTTGAACAATTAAATTTAATCAGCACAAATCAATCAAAAATATCAAACAAACAAATTGTTGATTGTTTTAATTAAAAAAAAAACAAAATTATCGATCAGGTTGACATAACAACGGTAACAATTTAATCCAATATTGTTATTAATATATAATTGGCACAGAAACATTGATAATTAGATGATGATGAGTAGATTAATTAATTGTCGTTGATTAGTTTTGTTTTAATCAATTGATTGGTTGGCCATGGATTCACATTATTAATTGTGATGATTAAAGTCACTGAGTTGCAATTGAACAAACAGTAAAATTGATGAGGATGTTTTGTTTTGGGTCTTTGTTGTTTATTTCAAACAATTAACATTGATTGTGATTGATGATGTTGTTGATTAGGAGACTGGTTAATGATGATCATCATGAAATTATCATTATTGAAGTTAATTGCATCCCATTTGAAATTGAAATGATAAAAGATGAAACCATGATGATGAATTTTCAACACACTAACTATTCATTGTTTTTCATGTTATCATGTTGATATTTTCACTTTGCTTTCATAATGAATTGTTGTCGAGATGTTGATTATTTTTTTCTGTGGTTCTCACTCAGTTATCATCATCTCACTTTGTTTTCTCTCTCCTTTGTTGTCTCTCTTGCTCTCTCTCTTTCTCTCTTTATCATTATCATCTTTCTTTCTTATTCTAACAAAAAGATAATTTCATCACTTCATCTTCTCTGCATCCATGACATTTTCAGAATGTGAAGGAATGATGATGCAAAGAGAAGGAAAAATAAGAGAGTCATGATGATAAGTCTTTCTTTTCTCTCTCTCTTTCTTTCTTTCGTCAACGAAAGTAGAGAATCATCATCTTCCCTTTAACTCCTTCTCTCTTTTTCTTTCTCACTCCCAGTTCTCTCTTCTACCCACTCCAACTCTTCTCTCTCACTCTTTTCTAGTCTCTTTTCTTTGCTTTCTCTCTCTCTCTCTCTCTCTCTCTCTTCAAATAATCAGCTGATCTTGCGCACACATTTTCCACTCCACTTCAGCCCAACACCCCACCACCCACTTTCACCAGTTCTCACTCACTCTCCCTTCACCCACCTCATCATCATGTTATTCCCTAGCAATTGAACTACAAAATATTTTCCAAAATAACATCACCATGATATCAAACTCAAAGAGAAAATAACGGTAAACATAAAAACCTAAAAACTAATCTGATAAATTCTGAGAGTATTCAGAATTATTATTCCATAATAATATTTACCAAACCTTCAGCATCACAATTTGATTATCAAATTAATTTTGTTTAGTTAAATAATTTAAGATACTCGACATTTCTCATTATAATTGAGACAAACAATATAAGCTCAACAATCAATGAATATCAAATTAAATTAACAATTTAAGATCTACAATCAATCATCAACAATGGCGATGGTTAGAGAGGGGGAAGGTTTAAATTACTGAAAAATTGATTAGTTGATTGGATGATATTGAATTGAGAAAGAATCAGATTGAAATTATATTGAAATCAATCAATTTAAATTCCGGATTAAGGTGAAATCATTGGCGCCACTTAACGGTAATCATGTCAATTGGAACTTTTTCATTTCGAATAAAAAAAAGTTCTAATCAAGTGTGTTAATTTAATTAATTGGAGGATAAAAGGGATTACAAAATTACAGAGTTTAAATTAAGAATGTCAATTGATTGGAGATTAAAAGTGGGATATTCTTTGAGAAGTGATTAGTAAATTATTCCAATGGAAAGTTGATTAAAGTTTCAGAATCTTCGATAAGATAATCTCGCTTTCTAAGATAATCTTTTAATCCCATTATATTTATCCAAATTCTTGAGAACTGTGTTCCAACGGATCGCTCTTTCTGCTTCCTCTATTTCCGTTAATCCAGAATTAACTTTATTCTTTAATTGATTAACTAGCCTTTGATTAGTCTCGAAATTATTGATCAAATTATCTCGACTCATTGATCTCATGTGTTTCAAATGTTCAGGTAAATCATCATGATTAACAGTTTCCTCTGTATCATTATCATCATTTATCTCATTGTTATTCAGATGATTATCTTTTTCATCAATATTTCCTGTAGTTACTTGGGATTCTTGATTATTATTATTAGTTGATTGTCTTCCTAATGGATTAGGTATTGAATCATTTTCATTTACATTTGATTCATCTTTTTGTGTTTCCGTTTCCGATTCTGATTCTGATTTGGTGTCAGTTGATTGTTGATACTGATTTTCAGGTGATAAATTGTTATTGTTGTTGTTAACATTTTCATCTGTAATTGATTGATACCGAGTCTCTGGGATTGGAGGGTAACGTGAAACCTTATACCCTGAACCATGGGAATATGAGGTTATTGGAACCTGAGTTTCTTGAGTTGATTCTGGTTGATTTGGTGATTCTGATTCCAATTGTGATGGAGATGAAGATGATGAATTTTCAGTTACTTTAGTTGATGAAATTGTCCCATCATTTGAAGCTTTAGATTCATTAGATGAATTTGATTCTGACTCTGAATTTGAATTTGAATTAATCTGATTTTGTTCATTCTGTTGAATTATATTTCTTATGTTATTATATTGGTTAATATCAGCTGATAATGTGGTTAAATTGTTATTATTTTCATCCAAATTAGTTGATTCAGTATTAACTAAGGTAGATATTGGATTAACATTATTAATTTCTTGATTGTTATTATTATCATCGACTGTTGATTTAATTGAGCCTCCTTGAGGTGTTAATGTCATTTGCTGATTGTTGGTTGAGTAAAATGTATTTGGTTGTTGTTGATGGTGATGAAAATGTTGTTGGTTAATTGTTGGGTTTGATTGTCCATCTTCAGGTAAATTTGAATCACTTTGGTCAACTGGATTAAGGATAACTTTGAATTGTTGCTGTTGTTGTTGATTATTAGGTGATTGTAGGTTCAATTGATTTTGATGATGATGATGAGCCATTAATTGTCCAGAATTAGTTAAATCAGTTTGTCCATAATTGTTTGATTGTGAATAATATTGTTGATTGTTAACCATTGATTGTTGTTGCTGGTTTGCTGATGTTGGTGAATTTAATTTTACATAATAAGAACCAATCATATTTTCAATTGATTTTTGATTATTGCTGTTGACAAGATTGTAATTAAATGAGTCGCTAGGTGAGTCTAATCCAATTGCTCGAGATGATTGCGGATTAATTGAACCATAAATTGGTGATCCAGTTAATCCAGAGCCAGACATGGGTTGAACCAGAATAGTTTGTATACCATTTGAGGAAGATGATGTTGGAGATGATGATTGAATGGTAGAGGGAGGTGGAGGTTGGGATGAGGATGAAGATAAAGGCGGAAGGGGAATTGATGAGGTTCCGGTTGAAAGTGATGCTAAAGATGCTGGTGAGTTTGTTGTAGGCGGTGCCAGTTGAGCTGCGGTCATTGGTAAGGTTTGTTGTTGATGATGGACACCTAATTGTTGCTGTAAATTAGCAAGTTGAGATGATAATTGTTGTTGAACTTGTAAATGTATGTTGGGTAATTTATCCTGTGAGATTATCAGAAATGGTTGATTAAAAAGTTGATTGAGAAAATTTTGAAAAAATTAATTGTTAATTACCTGAAGTTGAGCTTGAATCTGTTGAGATACTTGGGGAATTAATTGTTCCGGAAGTTTACCAGCTAATTGTTGGGCAATTTGCTGATTAAGTGTAGCTTGAAGTTGAGCCGAACTGAAATCAAATCAATAAAATCAATTAATCATAATCATATTTCCTTAATCAAAAACAATTCAGTTCATTTTTTTTCAATCATAATCAATTGATTAACTAAAAAAAATTCATGAAAAAATCACAATCAGTCAATTGTAATTGTTTTCATTGTTAAATTATTAATCATCACCTCTGACTAAATTGTCGAGATTAATTTCGTTAATTGTTGCAAGTACATGAGGTAAAACGAGTTAATTGTTATTAATTCAATTATCAGTGTTTCACTTTGACTCGTACACTTTTTTTAATTGTTAAGCTTCAATTGACAAGATTATTATAAAAAAAAATGAGAACAATTAACTTTTAATTAGAAAGCGATTGATAAATTATTGGAATTGGAAATTAACTGTTCATGCATCAACAATTAAAAAAGTATTCCTCTTAATTGTTTCAAACTTTTCAATGAAAAATTGATTCAAGTTAAACGTTGATTAAAATTCAACCAACTCATAGTTAAATATACAATAGTTAGGAAAAATTAATTTCAACACTAATTTAAGTTAATTGTAAATGATGAAAAGATTTACAATGATTAGTAATTAGTAATTGTTAATCAATTGGTTTCAATGTAATTGTTTGATAAACTTACGAGTAAAGTTGAGGTTGATTGAGTGGTGATGATGTTGGTGGTGGTGTTGGTGTTACCGGCATGATTAAGCTTTGAGTTAATTGCTGTAAATTAGTTAATTGTTGCTGTTGTTGCAATGAATCAATTGCTGACCCTCCTCCTGGTTTAATAATTAGCTGAATTTGTCCATTAGGCAATTGATTGGGTACCAAGGTGATTTGAGGGATTGAGTGTTGTTGTTGTTGTTGTCCATTATTTATACCAACACCACCTCCACCTCCTGCCCCACCACCATTACCAGCCCCGAGGCTATTCAAGGCTGCTGATAATGTGAGTGAATTTGGATTGAGTTGATTGTGTTGACCATTTTGCTGACCATTCGGGTCAACAAATCGTCCAGCTATTGCCGTTAAAACTGGACCAATCATTTTCCTGATCACTTCCGACATGACCGCTTGAACAACCATATCCATTTGGTATCTCATTAAACGTGGGCCCAAAAGGGTTAATATAATCCGATTTATTGGATTAAAGAGTCGCCTTTGAATTGGTGTTTGGATTAAAGGTGAAAGTGAAGATAAAGGCGAAGGTGATTGAATTGGAAGCTGCTGATTAACTTGTGGTTGTGAGAGTGAAGTTGCAGAGTTAAGATTATTATCAATAATCATCGGCTTTTGATTAAGATAAACATCATTGCTTATGAAAGGATTAACGGATGGATCATCATTGTAAGGGCTTAACTGTTCACCTTGAAATTGATCTTGGGAAAATGATGAAGATGCTGATGGTGATGATGATAATTGTGATTCAGCCAATGATTGTTGTTGATGAAATGATGGTGATACTAATTGTGATGATGGTATTGTTGATGGATTTGCTGATGATATAAGATGATGAGGATGAGGATGAGGATGAGATTGGGATATCCACTGATTTGATAATCCGTTTCCATCTAACTGATCTCTGTAATAATTTGTACTTAATTGTTGAGCTTCCATGACCAATGGTATAATTAACAAAACCACAATCACTTTAATTAAACAAAGATAATAAATGAATACTTTTTGTTAATTGTTCCTCAAATTGATTGAAAATTTTAATCCAAAGAAAAAGTTAATCCACTTACCTGATAACATTATTTTCAAAGTCCAATGTTAATTTTGACTTGATCATCACTTGATTACAGAAACTGATTAATTAGTTAACTATTGACTGATTGTTAATCGTTGATTGTCATTGTGTAGACACAACTGATTGTAAAAGTTAATTATTGATTTGAATACAGAATGAAAAAATCAAACAAACACAATTCAGATTCCAACTCAAAGTTTGATTAAATCAACTAATCAACTTGATTTAATTTCATCATCTCGATTCATTAAACATCATCATCGTCATCATCCTCATCTTTGTCATCATGATGATGATTATTATTATAGCTATTTGATTATTTAATCATCTTCTTTGTCTTGATCTGATTTTTTGATGATAATTTTCATCCTGATTTCTTATTAATACTCACACTTAATCATTTCGCTTCAGTTAATCATTTCGTGTTGATAATTAAGTCTTAATCATGTTGAGGATTGTGAAACACAATTAATTAAAAATTAACTTAATTATTTAAAAACAGGAAAATGAATTTTGATTGTCAATCGGTTGATCATCATTCACAATCAAATATTGAGAGATTAATGTTATTATTATGCTCAATTAATTTTCTGTCTTTAATTGAATAATTAATTGTTGGTGAAAATGAAAGTTAAGACAATTTTCCCTTTTCATTTTTAATTACAATTAATTAGCACCCATATTGTTAATAAAATTGTTTATTAATATCCTTGATTGTTGTTTGTTTCATCTTAATTGTTTGGGTGTTTGAATATTAGATTATTTTTGGATATATCAATGGAGAAAGTTAATTTCACAATTACCGTAAATCCAGTTGTAAATTGGTTAAAGAAACTTAAAAGTAAAATTAATTGCTCAGCAAATTATCATTGGTAATCAGGCGAATCTTAATTTTGTAATCAAGTAAAAGTTATATATTTAATTACAGTTGATTAAGTTAATCATGATGTCGAAATGCTGACCAATTGATTAAGATACTGATTGTTTAGATTGAACAATTTCCAAAATAAAATGATTAAGTTTTCTAATTAACAATTGATGGTGAAGATCTTGTTCTCTTGCTTGAAATTTTCGGTCTTAGAAAATGACCTAAGGTCAATTTTAGACCTTCGAACTTCTCATATCACCTATTGATGAATAATCGTTAGTAAGTATTAGATATTAAGATCAAAGTTCTAATAATAACTCGAAGATGAGAACATTGGATGAGAAGAGATCGTGATTTACGATTTTCGAATGGAACTTCAATCGAAAGATCAACAAGTTCAAGGTTAGATTTCGAATGACCTTTAGGGCATTAACGAACATTCTTATACTATTAGAAGAGGAAAATTTTTCGGTAAAAAGTTTCGATTCAGTGTTGATATTAGTGGTCATCGATTCAGAAATAAATCCAAAGAAGAGCCAACTGACCTTGAATCGAATCTGATAAATAAAAAAGGTCATCAATAAGTTCGAGTAATTGATTTAAAGACAAATTAAGATTCGTCTTATTTTCGTTAATTAAAGTACATTTATGATTAGCAATTAGCGAGAAATCAATCACCGTCAATCCTCTTGGTGGAAAATCAAGTAACCACTTAATTCATTTGATGATTTGTTGATTTAATTACGATTTTCCTTTCATCTTGATCAGATTGTTTTTCTATTATTGGAATTGGATTTAGATCAATTTTCCTTTAAGTAAATTGTTTGAAAAAGATCGGAGATTATGATAATAGGCTATTAGCCGATTTTAACAATTAGTTTAACCAAAGGTTTAATTGTTGATAATTAATTTGAATACATGAATAGAAGTAACAAAAATAGAGCAAAATAAATTACAATAGAACCAAAGTAGAACAATTTACAATTTGTATTAATTGTTGGAAAATTTTGATGATTGGAGATTTATGAATTCGTGATGAGGATGAAAATTCATACGATTAATCTGATTTAATCCATTAGAACCTTTTCTTCATTAAATGATTGATATTGTCTCTTAACATTGTAGTTGATATTTGATTATTGTTATTATTATTATAACAATGATTAAGAATTACGAGTAAATGATTAATGATGAGAAATGTGATGATCATTTGATTTCTTGTTATTTTGATCCGTTGATTGTGCTGATAATGATGATGATTGTTTGATGGTGTCGGTGATTGATGATAATTGTTAACCTTTGTCTTGATATTGTTGTCTCTTTTTTTTTTGGTGAAAATTAAATCAGCGGATTAAGGGCTGATTGTTATCATTGATTAGTCTCCAATCTGATTACCAATTCAGAGATGATTACAAAGGGATTGATGGAATAAAAATCTAATCAACAGGATTGTCTTTGATTGTCTTTGATTGACACCATTGATTTGGTGATGATCAATTTTCGGTGATTACGATAAATATATATACGTTAATTTCATTTTTCTTTGTTTGGTGGATTCATTTTTTTTTCTTCTTCTTATTCCTAACTCAATGGTAAAAGTTTCTTTTTCTGTCCATCAATACGGATTCGAATAAACTGGATGAACCCGATCTTCTGGTCTGTCGAATTGTCGATTCGCTTGGGACAGTTAAAAGTGTCACGGGTTCCTCGCAGTCGACATTGTACCACCAATCGCAAACACCGGATTTCTGGTTGAAAATGGTTCCGTTTGGACAGAGGAATGAGTGTTTTCGATGACCTTGACACATATGCCAAACTTGACATCCCGTCTCTGGATCGGCATAGAATCCACTTCCACCAATATGATCCTTGCAATCAAATGAAGTTTTTGGAATTGTATTGATTATTGGAAAATCTTTACCAGGTTCACCTCGACGTCCAACCTTTGATCTTGAGTGGCTACTGGTTAGTTGATTAATTGATGTTCCCAATTTATTAGAGCTTGTTGACAGGTATCCTTTTCGTTTCGATAAACGATTTGAACTTCCGCTGATTTTTAAATCATCTGAATCCTCTAAACTTTGACGATGTTTAACTTCATACTGAAAAGGAAAAAGATGAACAAAGAATTAGTTTAATTTTCATATTCTCAATTAAGAGGTTAAATTGTAAACATAGTTAAGTAAATGTAACAATTAAGCTTTCGTTTTGGTTAGTTTGTTAAGTCATCACAATTGATGATTGGTTAAAGTTACAGATTAGATGGTTTTTCATTCATTATTTAAAGTAAATCAATAATCAATAATCAGTTGAATGTTGAAAAAAAAGCTTAATTGTTGCAAAATTGAAGGTCAATTTGATTTTCGGCTTTCTAATTGTCTTTTTAACAATAAAAAAGATGTGGTCACTTCCATGTTTCCCCTTTTCTTTAAAAGTCAATCCACTTTGATTACTAAATGATCTCAACACCATGATTTAAATCTTGTAACAATTAAATCCCTAATAGCTAATAGGATTTAATAAAAAATTAGATCACTTGTGAGGTGATCAGTGCGTAAACATGATGATGATGAACTCGAACAGAATAAAAAAGCAAAAAGAGATAAATAAAGTTACAAGTTCTAAATTTGAATGATAATCGCAATTGTTATCAATAGAAATTGAATTAAGTCAACACATATTAATAATATGTACACACACACTCAGTACTAGCGATGGATAATTAGAAGAAATGAAAAAAAGAACAAGAGAAACAATTAAACTTTCAGCGAACTACTGAACTCATTATCTACAAAAATACTAAATAAGTCATTATATTGACCAGAGCCTCGCCCTGAGTCGCCGATAGTTCATTTTGTTTACACTCGAAGATCAGTCTTTTTACCTTTCCTTTAACATCATATGACTTTCTTTCAATTTCAACTAAGCGATTAACGATATAAATCAATCTTATTAAACTGACCCTTAACTAATAAAGGTAATACACACACATAAGAACATTCTAACTTGAGCTTGATTCGAGTTTGATTGTTACTCCCTAACTCTCTCTCTCTCTCTCTTTTCTTTCTTCGTTTTTTTTAATTGTCCACTAATGAAGTGAGTGTGAGTGTGAGTGTGTTTTATTAATTCTCCTTTTCTTCACTTCATATAAAACCAACCTTTCTTTGATTGTTTTTGTCCAAATTGTAGCTTCGTGCTGATTCCTTACGATTTAACCGGTAATTATATGTAGGCCTAACAGTTGTACTGGTTGATGTTGTTGATAATCGTTGTAAATTGGGTTTAGGTATAAATCCGTTTAAACTGTACATTGCAGGTCGTGAGAATTTGGGTAATAACAGCTTGGGGATGTTTCGAGAAGTACTTCGAGTGTCACCATTATTTGGTGTTATGGAAGGGGAAGACGATGACAACAAGGAATTATTAACACGCGATGGAGATAAACTTGATGATGATGATGATTGTGGTGATAATCCGGAAGATGGTGATAAAATCTCTTCATTTTGTTGACCTGTAATACCTGAATTACGTATTCTCAACACTCTAGATGGTTGCTCATTTGATTGGTGATCAAGTGGATTAGGTTGATGTTGGTGGTGGTGATGATGACGATAATAAGAGTTACCACTTGTAAGTTGATAATATTGTTCATCAGGTCCAATTCTCATTCGTGAGGTACGTTTTTCCGATGATGATATCTCAAGGATATCATGTCCTCCAACCTATCAAAACAAATCAAAATATCAAAATATATCATCAAAATCCCAAAAAAAACAAATCAGAAAACCGAGAAAACATATTAACAAAGAAAAGAAAATCAGATGAATTTTCAATTTCTTCCCATTTTTTTCACTAATTACAATTCTAAAACCGACCAACGAGCCATCAGAAGAATAGAGACAAGAAAAAAAGAACAAATCAAACAATAAATCAGAAAGAAACCAATAATTAGAGACAATTAAATTAATTGAATTAATTAATGAATTGGAAAAACAAATAAACAGAAGAAAAAAAATTCGAAATTGTAACCATGGAAACCGAACCCTTTCCCTCCAATGAGATAACCCGAAGAGGGAAAACAGTTGACATGAAGATCTCCATGAGTAAAGGTTAACAATTAGATGATTAATTTTTGTTAATTACCGTTTAAACAATTAATCTTATTCATTTTTGTTCTTTAACTAATTAATAACCGTTTTGTTTCATATTCTATTTGACGTTGTGTACGTGTTAAGGTGGTTTACAGTATCTTTTAAGGAAAATTAATCGAAAGGTAAGTTGATTTGTTTTTCGTTTTCTTTTTCTTTTTTATATTCTCTTCTCTTTTCAATTCATTCTATTCTCTCTTCATCTTGTTAGCAAAGGGATCATTTCTCCCTTTTCCTGTCTCTTTCTTTTTCTTTTTTTTTGTGTTCGTTTATTTGTACTTGTATTTATTTCTTGTCTTTTATAATATTAATACTAATAATCACCTCTCCTTCTTTTTTTGTTTTTATTTTCTCCATCAACAGCATCAACATTAGCATCATCTCTCTCTCTCTCTTACTCGCTATCTTTGACCAATCTATGTCAAGCTCGACTTGATTTACTGGTGGCTTGTAAAAAGTTGGAACATTTTCAAACGTTTTTCACGACCAAATTGTTAATTCTGCTGATCAATTTAAATTCACTGTTAAAAGAGCTTAAACTCCTCAAGTACATGTTAAGTTACTGAATTTTAAGTGATTGGGAGTCTTAAACTCACAAATACGTAATCGTGGCTGAGTTACCTCTTTTGTGTAAGAATATCATCAACACCATCTCTTTTAATAGCTCAAATTATCGTAGGCCTTATACTTTTTATGGAAAAATTTGACTTGTTGATGTGTTTTTTATCTTATGGTAACAAACCCACCAAACTGACCAGTCAATTTAATAATAGTAATAATATTACCATTACTAAGCATCGTGTTTGTTGATAAAAAAGATAATTTATAACCTTTTCTCTCTCTCTCTCTTTTTCTCTTTCTTTCTTTCTTCTTCTAGATCCAAATGATGATGGAGATTACAAAGTTTACCACTTTCTTTTTACCTGACATTTGGCGGAAAAATATGACAAGATGATGATAGCTATTCCAATTAATAATACAACTTTTCAACTTGTTTTAATTGATTGAATTTCTTTTTTTACTGGTGAAAAAGAGGAAGAAAAAAACTGTTGATTTCTATCGTTAATACACCTTTCCCATCAAGATGATGACGATGAAACTATTAGAGGTACTCCTTGTGCTCAAATTAACAGCATCTACTCATCATCACTTTACCAATTGCTTTTAATAGATGATGAATTATACATAAATCATTATATCAATTTCGTTCTTTAAGCTGCTTACTAATTAACTTTTAAACATTTCTAATTACAGGCTAATAAGTAAATCTATTTTATAATCATTACTTAACACTTATAAAACTTCATCAATACCTGCGATTTTATCGATTTAATATAAATTCTTAATGATTAATTTATAATCTTTATTCATTTTTCAGGCAATCACCATCATTCGCTCGGAGGTATATGAATTTTTGAATAGAAAACCCTTGGAAATCGTGTAACTACCTAACCAATTGAAGATTGAAATTCTGCCTTCCTGATTTACAATTAAGTCCATCAACTCTTAACTATTAATAAATGAATACCCTTGGTCTTTGTTCAATCAAAACAATATCGACGATGATGATGATACATTTGACTGATTCAAGGATAGTTACCAGAAATTGATGATAATCGAAATTCTCAAAATTTAATTGCTCGTTAAAAGTCAACAATAAATGATGTTTTCATTTTTTTTTTCTTCTTCTACTAAATGTAAACAATGTAAGTTGATCAAATTTTAATTCCTTTTCATTTAAAATCAAACAATGAGTTACTTTTATTCATTTGAATATATTAATTTTATTTATATTTGACATTCCCATTACTCTTTGATTATCTTGATGCTCATTGTTATACCTTAATAGTAATTACAATTATTCTGATCGTTATTATCTCCTATTATATCTCAATTTCAGGGCAAAAAAAAGGATATTGAAATTAAAAAGAAAACAAAGAAAAAGGAAAATAAAAAACAAAATGGATTCCAGATTAACCTTGAAAATGGAGAAACAAATTATCACATCAATGCTACCATTGGATTTTTCTTATGTCCATTTGATTTGGGTAAATGATCAACTTATAATTACTTTATTAACTTTTTGTTAATCCACCCGAATTGACCTTAAATTGTTGTGAACAATAATCCAATCTATGATCAAAGTAAGCTATTAACTTGGTAAACAATTAAGTGTTCACCAAGTTAACTTGAATGAAATTTAGTGACCAATTCATATTAACGTAAACATATTATTATTATATTTATATCATCAGATAACAAATCTATTAGAGTAAACAATTAACTTGCTAGATTAACCAATTTACTGCTAACAAATTAAATCATTTTGATAAGAAATTAATTTTTAAACTTCTAACAAAAAAAACTTTAAAATCTCAAACAATTAAGCAAGGTTAAAGTTAATTGTTTTGTATTTTTATATAAATGATACAATTTACTTATACTAAATTGTTGTGTGTTTGATATTTTTAATTAATGAATTTTAATATACATTGATTAACTTTTCTAACCTTTGATTTTTCTGTTTCTCATGATTACAATTACATCATTATTATCACAATTATCGATGTTGTTGACATGTTCATGGTTAATTTAGTTGGTAATTGTTACACTTTCACTAATTTAATTCAATTTACCCTTGTATCTTTTTCCCTAATCATTGATACAATTTTCCCATAAAGAAATCGCCTCTTCGAATGATAAACAACTTGGAAGATACTGATTTCTTAATTTAATTTAAATTGTTGGTGAGAAAATGATTTTATCAATCAAAACATTTCTATCATAAACAATTAACAGTAATCAGAAACTTATTTAATTGTTGTGTTGTCTTTACAATTAAGGGAAAAACATTTTCTAATTACGTTGCAATCAATTTATTTATTTTTTCTTCAAGTCCTTTATCAGTAAATTAGAAACACTAATTTACAATTAATTGGTAATTTATTAACTGTGATTAGTTAGTTATTAACCTTTTTCCTTTATTTTTCTGAATTTTTAATTCTGTCTCAATGTGAACTTGAAAAATCAAATTAATTACTCTAAACTAATTTCTTTCTTTCTTCACTTTCAATTCGATTACTACAAATCGTGTATTCTAATTGTATTAATTAAACAACAACAATCAGCCAATTGATTTGTGATATCAAATCAAACGTTAATTAATACTTTAAATGAAAAACATTCATTCACCTTTTATCCAATTTAAATCAATAAAGTTTAAAACCTAATTAGCACCAAATCAGATCTTTTTAATTTGGTAATAATTAGATTTGAAGATTTAAATTTTTGTTAACAATTTAATAACAAGAAAGGTGAATTAATTAATTGAAATGTTGATAATGTTTTAATACGAAAAAAAAGAGTTAAGAATTATCCTTGAAAGTGGATTAATATTGGTTAATTAAAAATCAATCCAACAATCAACAATCAGCATCAAAGTTGATTAATACACTTTTCTTACCATATTGATTAACAGATTAATAAGTTTAGCTTTTTTTTTAATTTTCAATTAATTTGATATCAATTTCAGATTAATATTAAATCACCTTGATTTAATACCAGGCTTTTTAATTATTATTACCAAATCTGATTGTCAACCAAACAATCAATCAGGAAACCAAGGATTCAACAATCAACTTGTGATAACAATTGGATTCTTGTTAATCTAAATTTTTAATTTCATCATCAGTAAATTGTTTCATTGTAAACAATTAACATTTTCAATATGCTGATTGTTGTGACTACCTTTCCATTGATTAATCAAATAAATTGAACATACAGAAAACTAGTATAGTGGTCACAAGTGTTGGAAAGTGATTAACTTAATTGTTAACAATTTAAAAGTAGAGTAAAAATCTAAATCATTGGAAAAGGTTAATCAGCAAATTCATTATGAAGGTCAGTTTAATGAAAGAAACGGAAGAAGTAAAAAAAATTAATGATTAATTGTTGACAGAATGATGATAATGATTAGTGTATAGAATTGTCTTGATTAAGTTACGAATTAATTTATTGATCAACTAACTTGATTGTAAATTAACTACTGATCAATTGTTTTCCTTTAATTGTTATTTACTATTTATCACGATAACTGATTTCTTTTTGTTAGCTAATCACTTTTTTTTCATTCTTTGTTACAGATTATTGTTATGGATGATTCTGATCATGATTCTCGAAATCAACTGACCATTACAATTTCCTGATTAATTTACCAACTGATTACAATCAATTTGTATATCTCACCAAACAATTAAACAGGAGAAGGGTGGAAATCAAGTTGATCATTTTCAAAACTACCGTTAACCAATTGTTATTACCATTTAATCATTATTCTGATCTTGATGCCTTGATTTGATTATTATTACCAAGATATTAATCATAATGTTAATTCATTGATTATCTTGCTAATCTAATTGTGATGAAACAATTTGATAATAATAAAAAGGTTGATTTGATTCCTTCCGATCAACTTTTTTATATCATTAATTGTTGTCTCGTTTTTTTTTCACAAATCACCATTGATTTAATTATATCGGCATCTAGATCATAAACTTTTGATTTGGTTTATGTTTAATAAGTTCTGATGATTATTACAATTAGTAAATTGTAATAACATTTTCACTAAAAAACAACTTTAATTTCATCCGTTAAACCTACAATTAACTAGACGATAAAACAATTTAAACTTTTTTCTCATCAAAAACTAATCATTTTCATGTTACAATTAGTAAGTTAATCCAGTTGATTGTACAAATCAATTTGATTATGATGAAATATTACAAGAAAAAATTGATTGTAATTGCAAATAAAAAATCATTTCTGATTTTTGATCAATCACAATCAACGAAATTGGTTTAAATTATTGATTAATTTCAACTCGTTTCCTATTCAAATGAAACTAATTTGATTTGATTTGTTTTTTTATCCATTTAGATTATTCAATAACTCAAGGCAATTTAAATGAGTTAAATTGTTGGATCAATTTTTTGTTTTCTATTCTCAAAGTGATGATTATGATGATAATTGTAATCATAATCATGATTCTTAAATGATTGACATGAATCAAAAAGTTAATCTTCTTATTCAATGTTTTGTAGATTTAACTGATTAGTGTTGATTTAATTTGAAATAATCTGTCAAATTGATATGATAATCAAACTTTAATTCAGTTCTAATTAACCTTTGTTTAAATTGATTCAAAGTTAAATATTGTATCAAAATTGGTAGCTGATGAAAATCAACTTTCTAATCGTAATCAAAATTTCCCGGACAATTTAATTTAATTATCTTTTAATTTTTGGTTTCAATTACTTTTGGTCTAATTTAATTGACAATTAACAAACTAATGATCCAACTATTAATATATAAGGTCAAGGACTTGCAATTAAATGAAAGTTTTGGTCAACAAAACTTGATCAATATTAGTAAACATTTAATAATAATCAATTTTTGATCGTCTTATACTCAATTTAATCATCTAATTGTTGGTGTTTAATTCAGTGGAAAAAACTAACTTGCAATTCGAGAAGAAAAAATGAAATAATCAAATTTAATTGTAACTCTTTGATCTTGTATCAATTAGATTTAAAATGTAAATAATTTACAATTAACGTTTAACAACAATGTAAACATTAATTCAATCAAATAGCATTTTTTTTATTTCTCAATTTGATTTAACTTATTTAATCAGTGATTATCAAATTAATTCAACGGTCAGATAATCAAAATATCATTAAGTTTGATTTTTTTTCCCTCTGCCTTCAGGTCAAGTTTGAATTTTGGATTAACTTTAAATGGTCATTACGATTTAGATAATAATTGTGTTTGGACGATTAAGGTGATTAATTGGTGGATAATTCAGCTTACCTGTGATGATGAATTTTTATACGAAAGTGGAATCAGATCAGAATCTTTACCGACACTTCGAGGTTTAACCATAGAGCCATAAGAGATTCGTCGAGTTTTGGTCGGAATCGGTTTAGAACCAAATCTTAGTTTGGGCGGACGAATTGGAGCTTTAGATCGTCGACTTGAATTCCAAGGAATTTGACCATTTGCATCGGTCGAAGTCGAAGTGGAATCTGATTGGACATTCGACTCACTTTTCGACTTACCAATTTGAACCTTTTCTTCTGGACCATTTCCGTTTCCTTGGACAATCGGTTCCGGTAAACCGTCAACTTTATCACCAACAACAATTAACTTTTCCTTTAACAAAAGAGAAGAAAGAAAATTAATCTGGTTAATCAGTTGATCATATGGTGATGATTGAATTTTCAATCGGTGATTAATCAAATGATGTCAGTCAACAATCAACAAATAATCATTTTTATTACTGTGATTTTATCATTAATTTGTTGACCATCGATAATCAAATAGTTAAGGTCAATCAAAAAACAATGTTGACAATTGTTGATGTTAATTAATTGCCAGTAATTACAAATGATGATTATCACCAATTTAATGTAAATTGGTGATTTGATTCCGTGCTAATGATTAACAAATTATCACACTATTATCACAAAAGTTTTGTACATTTGATTGTCCAACTTGATATTTCAAGTAATCAATCAATTAATTGTGTGGGGACTTGGTGATTAACTGAATTGTTTGCTACCTCAATTGTTACAGGATTAATAAGGACGAGGATTATGATTAGTAAATGACAAATCAAATACAATTTAACTAATTGTTGTTGATTGTTGTCCACTTAATTTACTCCTTTTTAACATGTTATCGCTATTTAATATTAATAATAACGATATTTATAATATAACTAATAAGGAACAATCAACAATCAACAATTAATACTTTTGATTGAAGGTGTGGTTGTTGGTGTAATCGGTTAATTGTCGTTAACTTTTTAATCATTAACCATTTAACTTTTCAACTCTCTTCCGTTAAATGATTAAACTATTAATTAACTTTATCAATAACTTTCATTTCATATTGATTTGATTTAGTTTAACTGATTAAGGAACTTAATTGTTTGATTAAATGAGAGAAATGAAAAAATCAATAACCAACAATTAACTTGAGGCATTAAAAGGTTAATAAGATGATTATTAGTTAATTGTTTCATAAATAGTAGTTGTTAATTAATGTTGATTTTGTTTTGTTTTGTTAATTACAACCAGTAAGTTGAACTTTATGTTTTTGGTAAATTGTTTTTTAATTGTTGATTTATGAATATTAAGATTGATTTTTATTAACTCTAATCAATTACCTGTCACTATTATAATTAATATCAACCTTTAATTGTTACTTAGTTTAATCACGATTTCAATTGTAATCAATTGATTATTTTGTTGACTAATTATGATCAGTCTTGATCATTTCAAATTAACCTTCAAATTTAATTGTTTCAGATAAACAATCCAGGGTGTTGTTATAATTGCTAATCAAATTGTTGATGATTAAGTTGATTATGATGATGAAGATAATGATTAAGGTGATAATTTGACTTAATCGAGTTTCACTTTTTTTTCATTACTACAATTTAATCAACTATACTTGAAACAATTAAATTGTGAGTTAGTAAATTAAATTGTTAAGTTGAAATTAAATTTTACAATCAACACCAGAAAGCTTGAGGTCAATATTAATCACAATTAAGAAGCAACTAAATTAATAACAATTGATAATAATAGAGTTGACCTTTAACTATTAATGGTTAGTCAACTATTAGTTTAATTAATCACAATTACGGGATTTGATTAACAAATAGCAACATTAACAACTGGTTAATGATAAACGGGTAACAATTTAACAATGAAATGATAACAATTAACAATTGTATATCCTTAATTGTAAAACTTAATCGTGAGTGATAATTATTAAACAAAAAGTTGAGAAAAGTAAAATCAGCAGTTAACAATTATGATGATTAACTTTCAATCAACTGTTTGAATGTTTAATCACAATTAGATTTGATTTGTTGTTTAAACAACAATTTCCTTGACAATCAACATGAATCCCAATGGTTATAATATAAAAACAATTGTAACAATTAGACTGGCGATTACTTAATCACTTGATTAACTTGATTTACTTAGTTAATCATCAATGAAAATATGATAATTAAACATTGACCTTAATAAACAATTAACAACAAGATGATTATTACAATTAATCATCAACAATGAGCAAATACTATATAATATCAACCAAACTAAATTAACAAGAGCACAGTTAATTAAAAAGTTAAATCATTAAACTAAATTAACTACACACAATCAAACAAATTATATTAATCAAATTTTTAAACTAAAAGTAATTCAATTTACAAGTTACAATTGTAACTTTTTGTTTAGTTAATTGTTATTGGTCAGACCAAAAAGTTAAATTGTATTTACCCTCATGATATTTAATTTTAATTTTTAATTTAGTTTACAACTAAACACAATTTAAAAATTTATGATTAGTAAATTGTTGAAAGGGACTTAATCATATAAATGATGCTAAATTGTTAGTTAATCACAATTAAAACAGATTAAACTTATATTTCTGGTTTATCCTTAATACACAACAATTAGTTTTGATTGTTTGTGTCCACAATTAAAAACAAAATTCATTATTAAGAAAAAAATAAATATTAATATTCATTGGGTTTTGTAAATTGTGAATTAATTACAATTAGATTTTAATTGTTAGTATTAAGATATTGAGAGAGAGAGAGACATTTAATCACCCACTCATCATAATTAACTGCACCTAAAAATATTCAATAGGAAATCAAGTTAATCATGTTAATCAACGTTAAGAGTTAATTGTAATTCATACAATTTAACAGTTTCCGTTGTTTTCCTGATCATTTTAATCATTACACACGATCAACTAATTCAAATCAAATGATTAGTAAATCATCATCATCATTATGATTTATCAACCAACGCGATTTAATTTACTTGGTTTGTTTTTGTTTTTCATTTGTTAATTGTGATTAACTTTTGATTATTATTGTTGATTATTTTGTCTTAAACTACAGATCAATTAATCCAGTGATTTAAAAAAAAAATACCCTGATTATCTGGTTAATTAATTGTTGATTAATGAAAAATGAAAAGCTCGTGATTTTGATTGAAAAATTTGATTGTTGTTTCATATTTGATTAACTGAGATTATCGTTATTATATGATTGCAACAATTAAACACTTTGATTTTAATCAATGTTTCATTGATTTGAAGCTTTTCAGTTTCCTAGTTACTGTTACTAAATTGTCATTGGAATTGTCATTTAAAGTTTTTAATTATAATTCAAATTTGGTACTTAATTTACACTTAATTGTGATTCTATCAGCAAACTCTGTCTTACTAACTAACTAACTAACTGTTATCAAATTTTGATTTAGTTAATTTAGTTTTGTTGATAAGAAAAAAAGAAAAATTAAATTAAATTGTGTTCGTTACCTTCAATAGTTTTACTCTGATTTAAATGGGTTTTTAATCATAATCACGCAATAGGAACCTTATTGATTGTTGTTAATCAAAGTAAATAACAATCAATTACCTTGAATTGTCCAGATGATGAATCATGGTCATCAGTTTAATCATCAAGAGTAACAATTTAACAACAACTAAATATGATATTTATGTGTATTGATATACAACAAACAAACAATTACAATTAATTAAGACAATGATTAGTGTAAATCTTATTCAATAACATTGATTTGGCGTTTTAATCAATCAATATAAACGCTCATTTGTTTTTTAAGGTGTTTCTAACCACGTTTAACTGATTAGCAACAATTAACTAATCAAGGTTTTCGTAATTTATTAAATAATTAACTGTTAATTGTTTATTTACCATTGGGAAATGATTAAGGTTATACTGGTGTTAATAATTGTGGATAATGATTGCAATTACTAAATCAATGATTCTGTTGATTAATTTTACTTTCTCATTTTATATTTATCATGATTAATTGACAATTAAAAGCATCAGATTTTAAAATAATAGATTGGGTTAATCTTCATTGATTAATTAATTATCGGAAAGGTTAATCAACTTGACTATTAACCTCAAGTATTGTAATCTTTGGACAATTAAAAACTTTAATCATGAAAGTTGAGATGAGTTGTTGATTGTTAGTTAATTGTTTCAAATCAACTGACCATTAAATTGTATTAATGAACTTGATTTTGTTTAATTGTTGATACTATTATACAATTGATCACAATCAATGAATCAACTATGATTTAAAATTTGTAATAATGATCAAGTTCCGGTTAGTGTTTTAATTGTAAACAATTTAGATGAAAGTTAATAAACTTTTAATTGTCATAATTTAAAAACTGATCTAATCAATGGAAAAGCAATTTAAAAGGTTAATTGTAATTGTTTTTTCAATCCATCTATTACTGATCACAATTAACGACAATTTAGATTGGTATCAGTTAATCATTTTAAAAACATAGCCAATGATTTTGATCATCATTTTTAAAATTGAACAATTAAACCAACAATTAACCACAATTTTGTTGCAACAACAAATTGTCAACTCATTATAAATATGATTAACCCCAATCAATTAATCAGCTGACAATCAGTAAACTTTGAAAGCAATTGTTGATTGTGAATCAAACAGTTAACTTAAATTGTTGATGATTATAAATTGTGATTAGCTGAAACAAGCTTTAATTACAATAACTAAATTTTGATTAATCATTTAAAATGATGAAAACAACCAATTGAATACAATTACAGTTAATCCATCAGTTGATTAAAGTTTATTGGTGAAAAGTAATCAAGATAATTGTGACAATTTCAATTTGATTGTCACTTGATTGAATATTAATTTCACTCTTTTTTTTACATATGACAGAAATTAACTTGATTAACTTAATCCAATGTGATTAAGCATAAATTTTAATCAAGATTGGATTCAGATTGAGTTCAAGTTGACACTTTTTTGGCAAAACAATCAACGGGTGACAATTTATAAATCACAAACGAGGTTAGTTGACACAGAAAATTTAAGTCTACTGATTAACCTAATTGTTGGGGATAGATTGTCATTGTAAATTATGGTTGACATTTAATAAATTGTCAATTTTGTCTTGCTAATTGTGAGAAATTTAACAAAAAAACATCTAAGCTTAATTAATTAGTTGATTAACGGTTAATTCAATTGACCCGCAAATGGATTAAGTTTTTGTTATTAATTAATATAAATTATGATCGATGAGCTTATGATTCCCAACAATTAAAAATGATTTTTTATTTCCCAACTAATCAAAAATCTAACCAATTAAAATTAAAACTAGTCTAAACTTGAAATGATTAAGGAAATCAGCACAATTAACTAATGAGCGTATCAACAATTAACTAATGGTCAGTAAATATTGTTAAATGAATATCATTTTACATTAAGTTAATTTTCAATGTGATACTCAACAATTTACCATCTTGATTAGATCTTAAATTGTTACCAATTAACAAGTAATTCAATTGATCAACTGAATAAATTGCCTCAGGCTAAATGATGATTTATCTTTTATTTTAATCATCACTTTTTAGATCAATAATCAAAATAGACAATCATTGGTCACCTTGACAACTTTTACATTTAATTGTGATGATTAAATGTAAATATATTTAAATCAATTCGCAACAATTAAAAAGTTAATCAACTTTGTAATGTCACTTTGAATAAGTTTTTTTTTTATACTTTCGTTAATTGTTGTTGATTAACTTTCACTTTGATTTGAAGTATAATTGATGGATTGATAAACAATATTGGTTATTTAACATGATTATTATTGTAACAATTAACCTACGGGCAATTTAATATCTGGTTAATTTAGATTAAGGCAATTTCTGTCACTTTCAATTGACACCAATTAACCGGTAATCCTGCCTTCCGGTGGTTAACAATTAACTAAATTGTTATCATTAGAGTTAAATTTTTGCCCGATTCTGTAATATTTTCAGACAATTAAAACAAATCAATATTTTCCCGTCGTTGATTGTTAATCAATCTAAATTGTAACTAAATATACACATCTAATTAATAACTTTTATTTACATTATTTATGATTGTTAATTGCTGGACAATTTAAATTAAGTGTATATGAGATATTTAAAGATGAAATTAGTTAATTATCAGTAAAATATTTAATCACAAAATTTACTTCTTTCTAATTCAGTTGTTAATATTAATATATAAAGTTTGTTGATCGTTGATTGTTGTTGATTAAAAGTTAATTAAAAGGTGGGTGGTGTGTGATTACTTTATTAATTGTTGATTTCTAGCTAGATAATAATCAGTTGATTGTGAAAAAAGTTAACAACAATGTTAACTGTTGTATTAATCAACTAAATGATAGATTTTCTCAAAAATTGTTAACAATGATTAAGCTTTCAAATGATTAAAGTTAATTGTTAGTAAACTGGACTCGAGAAGTACAAAAAAAAAGTTAATCAAACTTTTTTTCCCTCCAAAGTTAATTGCTACAAACAACCAATGGTTAATTAACCAATTAAGTTTTGCAAACCCAATGAAATATACCTAATAAAAAGTTAATTAAATTAACAACTTACAATTGGTTTATCCTTAATTGTCGTGATTGATTCCTTAATATTATCCGATTTATTGTTGGAATCAGTTTTTCCTTGATTAATTGTTGATTCCAAACAAATTGGTTGACATTTGGACGATGATGACGATGAAACAATTAACTTTGAATTATTAGTTTGATCACTTACTGAAGAAGATAATGATTGACAATTAACCTAATCAATGGAAATACATACAATTAAACAACAATTAAGTAAAGAAACACAATTAGACGGAAAAATTGATTAATCACTTGGATGAGATTTTGGAAAAACAATTTGAAGAAAAGGGGAAAAAATTAATTACCATAAATCCATAGGGTACAAACAATGAATTAACAATTAACCAATAAATCCAGTGCATGGTTAACATTGAGTAGCAATTAGTAAATTGTGATAAGAATTAAAATCCAACTTAATGTTGACCGAATCACAATAACAAGATAAATAAAAAGCAACAAGTTTATTCCAGGTAAAAGTTACCTGAAATTTTTTTTCTCTTTCTCTCCTCCTTCATTTTACTTTCTTTCTCAATTCTCTTTCACTTTCTCTTTCTATCTTCCATCTTCCTCTTACTCACTATCTCTCTCTCTCTCTCTCTTACTTTTTCTAATCATCATCATTCATGATTATCTTACAACAATCAACGTAACTACATCACAAGAGTAAAAAAGTTTCAACAGTTACTCTTGACTCTTTACCTTGTTGATTGCGTTCAAAATAAAAACAAGGTTAACATAATTGATTAAAGTTTAAAATTGATGATTAACACAATTAATTGTCTCCCCATTTTAACAATTAAACATTTTCAATGTATTTATTTATATTGTGTTGTTGTTGTTGACAGAAAATCTTGTCCATCATCAACAATTAAAACAATTAGAAGCGAAAAAGTTTCGACATTAGAACTCGAGATTTGCCATTTGAAAAGTTTTCTTCTTCATCTTTGGCTCTATTGTTTCACCTAATTGTTAATTGTTGAAAATTTTCGCGTTTTGTTTAAAATTCAATGTTAATTGTTGCCGTTGATTGCGATAAAACAATCATCCCTAATACTTGTCTTCTTCACATTCAAATTGTTAATCTTTTGGCAATGATATTGACTTTTAAGAATCAAAGTTAATTGTTATAACAATTTACTAATAATAAAGGTCTTGTCTTGGATAATCAATCAGTTGAACAACTTTCAACTTTCAAACAATAACGATTACATATTAATTGTCCAGTGAAAATTTTCACTTTTTGACCGATTGTATTAATTATCAACTATGAATACACTTTAATTAAGTTTAAATTGTGATTAAGTTTCCAGTTTTCCAATTGAATTTGAATTGAGTTCAAGTTGACAGTTTTTTGGCAAAAACAATCAATCGGATGACAATTTAACATAGACAACATTGATTAATATTTATATCAATTAACCTGATTGTTAAGACTAATTGTTATCTTGTTGAATTGTTGACTTTAGTGTTAATCACAATTAAGAGCTCAAAGATGATTGAATTACCCTGAGAATCAGTAGATTAACAGTTATTTTAACAATCAATTTGCTTATTAAACAATAAGATTGTTATTTATTGTTGATGAAAATGTTGATTAAACATATTTGCAGATAAATTGAACAACAATTCAATTAAATTGTCACAATTAATCATTTGAAAAGTTGTTAATCATTGGAAACCAAGAAAACGCTAGTAATTAACAATCAAATCAAGTAAACAATTTCGTTTAGGGAATAGTTTTATTTTTATAAGAATTAAAATTTATCGTTAGTCACAATTTACTAATTGTTGACACTTGAAGAGACTCATTTGAAAATATACCAACACAAGTCAAGGTAAATTGTTTGGAGCCAATGGTAAATCTTAATTGTAACAATTTACCGTTACCCTTTAGTTACTCAAAGAAAGTTATATGAATTGAATCGAGACGAGAAAAAAAAACCAAGAATTTAGTTTAAACATTGAGTTTATGGATTAGGATTGAGATGATGAAGATGAAGATGATGATGATGATGATGATGATGATGCCAACCCTGAAGATGATTATGATTACGATGACGATGATATTAGTACCAAGATAAATTTAGAAATCAAATTCAAATTCAGTTCAACATGAAGATTTGGATGGTTCCTTCAAAAATCCTGAACTAATCTGAAAATTTAGTGCATGGTAACTGAACATGATCCTTAGGATGCTCATGATGATGATCAGGAGCAACAAGTAGTTTGAATTACCTTGAAATCATTTAGCTTGAAATCTTTAATCATTCTCACAATTTACATCCGAGGTGATCAACAACCGAATTAGTTGATTAGCATTTCGACTTTTCCTTTTTCCATATCATCAACGTTCATCATTCTAATTGTTACGATTTATAATCTCAGGTAGGTTTTTATATTTAATCTTCTTCTTCTTCTCTGATTATTATCATTTAATTTCCTTTTATCATCTTGTCCTTTTATTGGTTTAATTGATCGTTAATTTGTTTTTATTTTTTATTTTTCTCTTTTTCTTTCATCAATTTGGATAAGGAAATATTAGTTTAATCTCAATCTAATCACCTTTATAACTCGTCTCAATGTCAACTTGGCAGCCTCCCGCATCTTCATCTATTTATCATCCATCTTCATCTTCATTAACTACACCATCATTTTCATCATCAACCTCTCCCACTCCCACTTCCGCTACCCCGACATATCGACCTATTCTTCCCTCGGTGGGAGTGATTCCACACTTCGATACCCACCTAAATGGACCCACTCAAAGTGAACAAGAGAAAGTTTTATACCAACAGGAGAAGCAACGAGAACGATTGGCTGTAGTTAATCAGGTAATTATCGAGAAAAATTATAATTTATCGAAAAGAAAAACATTCCCAACTAATAATATTCCATAATTGCAACATTTACTTTCCGCTTTTCGATACATTAAAATTTCAACGAAATTTAAGTTCGATTTTAGTTTAATTCTCTTCCAATAGATGGCAGCACGTGTAGTGTGTTTTCTTTCGCTTCTTAATTAGTGATTTTTGTTTCCATTCAAATTTTAATTGTGATTAAGTTTTTTGTTGATTTTTTCTTCTAATTGTGATTATATGAACTTTAATTCATTGAGAGTGTCCTCTTGGTGAACATTTGTCAAGGTGAATGGTTAGAAATCGTTAGAAAATTACTTAGAATTTTGGAAACTCTTGATTTTCAGTTTCTCCATTTTCTTAAGAAATTGTTTTTCTTTTTTTGGCAAATTGACAACAATTTACTGATTATAATTCTGATTCTGTTGTTGAAAGTATCCAAGGATCTATTATTCAAAATAGAATAACTTCTAATCAGTAGTAAGAATCTAAATCTTTCTATTTACCAGAGAGAAAGAAAATCAATTGGATACAAAAGAGAAAAAAAAAATTCTCTCCACAAGCCAAGATGTTTTTCTTTATTTACATATTCCAATAACCTCTTAACCTTAAACTCTTTTGATTTATTTATTTATAAATTTTCTTCTATTCTTTTCCATTTCAGCCTCATCGGACTTTCCCCGTGGTCACACCCAAACCAAAGCCAATTCACGACTATCCGATTGGATCTTACCTTCGACATGTTCGAGATCCAACTTGGCAACAACCACCTCGAGTCTCCTCACCCGTTCCGAGGCCTGACAAGCTAAAAGAGGTTATGAACAGAGTAAGTGTTTAATCATTTTTTTCCGCACTTCATCAATTAAACTGAACAATCAAAGTAAATCATCAATTTAACAACAAGCTAATCACAATTACCAAGCAGATAGCAAGAAATTGGTAAAAAAAAAATGATTACATCAAATTATCAAGTTTACTTTTGAGTAGCAACAACAAAAACAACACCACATTCAATTTTCACCTCTATGGTTACAATTACCTTCACAATTAATTGTTAATTGTGCTAATTAGTGATCATTGAATCTCTATTTATTTATTTTTTTTCTCATCACTAAATTGACAGACAATCGGTTTTACAATTATATCAACAATTAACAATCATAACAGGATAACCAGGTAATTCTGATAGGAAACAAATGTATCACTATAAGAAGACTATAAGTTAATTTGATCACAATTAATTATCAATAACATTTAATTATCAATGAAGTGGTGAACCAAACAGCACCACCATTTAACTTAACCATAGATCCGATTTAATTGTAATCAAAGTGATGATTAAACCAATTGATTATCTATTGAGGTGTAACCAGAAATAACAGTTAACAAATATTAACCCAGAGAAAATTAATTCCTCTTGAAATTAGAAAAGCAATTATTTAAATGAGGCGAAACAATTAACTAATTTCTTTATTAACATTTAAGTTCAAGGTTTTCAAACAAAAATCTAATTTAAATTTACCACAGAAAACTGGGTAAAAATGGTTAAGGTTATTTAAATTGTTGTGTCCTCATTATTTTTGGCAACATCAATTGATTTATTAATCATCTCAACAATTAACATTAGACACCAAGAGAAATCCAAAAATCTCATCAAGGTGATACACCAACAATTAACTTGATCATCTCAAAATTGAAGTTATCGATTGCACTTTTGATAAACTAATTCCAGAATCTTAAATGAATATTAGACATTTAAATCAACTTAGAAATTAACTAGAAAAAAAAATCAATCAACTACTAATCATCATTAACAATTAGATTCTTATCCTTGAAGTTGATTTAGTTAATCACTTTCTCTTGATTTTCAATTGTTTGTCTAATTTGTTACAATATCTTCATCCAGTGTTAATATTTATATTACATTATTTAATCTTAATTGTGATCAATAAAAAGCAACTACAATCAAGGTTATCAAGAAAATTACAATATTAAATTGTGATATCATTTGATTTGATTTGTTAATGATTAACTTTAATGTTTAACAAGTTATTAAGGTTTGGTTTTAACAATTTACAAATTGTTGTTGTTGTTATATGAAAACCTTGGATAAACAATTAAACTTAATCATAACAATGAAAATTATTGAAATAATCATCACTACCGGAAAGATGATGGGAACAATTAGATTAAATTAAACTTATCCTTGTTAAATTGTCATCTAATTGTTATCATAATTAATATGAAGAAAATTGTTATCATTGAAATTGGGAACAATTGATTTATCTTAAGATTGTCACATTTTCATTATTAATATAAGCACACTGATTATTATAACAATTAATTGATCAACAATTTATGTTCTAATTTTATTTCTTAATCATTTCAAGGTACTTCAACAATTAATTGATAATTAGTTAATCATTTAAGTGTTTACAATACTTGGAATTGAATAGAAATGAAATTTTTTTTTCTCAATCAGAACAAAAAATTAACGTCTTTCAATGAAGGACAAATGATTATGATTAATTGTTGTTAATTGTTATGATTTAATAATCACAATCAACTTGATAAACTTTTTTTTCCTCTCAAATCATTGATCTAGTTTTTCTTAATTGTGATAATTAGTTTTTAATGGTAATTAGTTGAAGAAGTAAACAAATAAGAATCGTAATTAGATTAATTTTGCTTACCATGGTTCTCAATTGTTGTTGTTAACAAGCAACAATTTACTTTAATCATTTGAATTGGATGATGATAAAATTGCGAGAAACATGATTTCGAGGTAAATTAACTGTTGATTGTTATAATCATTAAATTATTAAAGTTTTAAATTGTCAATAAATGATAAATTGTTTTGATGTTTTTAAAGGAAAAACAAATTGTGTCAGATTGTTGATTAAATTGATTGTAAAGGTAAAAACTTAAATTGTTTCAGGTTCGTTGACAGATAGTTTGATGATGATTGTTGGTTAATCATGATGATCATGATAATCGATGAGATCATTGATGAATATGATTAACAATTAAATCTCGATTTTCTTAATTACAGTTTGCTGGTGATCTTGATGCTGAAAAGGTTGTTCATCTTCAATACAATTCACCATTAAATGTTTACAGTAGAGATTCAATTGCTGAAACCTTGGCTCCGTAAGTTGATTACAATTAACTAATCACTAACAAAATTGTCCCTTGTCTCATCACTAATCACCTTTTAACCATTAAATAACAATCAACAATCAAGAATCACCAATTTCAGGTTAGAATCAATACTTTTCCAATACAATCCGAAGAAAACTTTTTTGTTTCAATTTACAATCTAATCAAATATTGAGTTAATCATCTTAATTGTCAAGTCGTAGTTGTTTGAGGACAATCAGGTGAGAAAATAATCAATTATAATCAACAGAGGGAAGAAAAAAAATTGAACAATAAATTAAGGTAAGTTTGGAGTTAATTTGATTGCTACTGATTAACACTTTGTTTCTGTTTGTTTGTATGTTTATATAAATACAGAATTTATTAATTGATTACATGTGAGAAACAATCAATTGATTGATTTATGTTGATGATTAGATTATTATTATAATTGAGAATCAATTGAAAATGATCTTCTCTCTTCCTTCCTTTTTCTCTCACCCTTTAAATCATCATAATCATGATGATGATTTATCACTGAACTGAATTGAACTGAACAGTTTATTTATTGACTTTTCCTTTCTAAAGTCAAACCAATGTGAAAATAAACACACCAACAATCAGCCACAATCAAAATGCTACACCAACACAATCGCCACATTATCAACCACAACAACAACAACACCATCATCATTACGTAGTAGACCCAATGATGAGCCGTCTCTCCGTTTCACCGACTCCCTACAACACCAACAACACCAACAACAACCTTCGTCCATCAACACCAATTACCGATATCCGTAAATCACCAACCTGGCAATTAATTCAAGAACAGGAATCGGCTAAGGCTTATGGTCCGGTCAAGGAAAGGGTCAACTCGCCGGTTGGGGCTACTCTTCATGTATCAAGTATCGATGGTCACGAATCACCAGCACAATCATCGACATTTAAACATCTAATGAGTGCATTGGTTGATCATCCAGCTTATTAATTGCAATTAAGAAACAAAAACAACAACAAAAAAATGCAAATTGGATTCTAATCAACTTTTTGCCCGCCATAATTGATTTAATTTCTTTTCCCCTTTAATCCTTTAATCTTAATCTTAATCACTATCTAAGTCCAAAGCTGTTTATGTGTTTAAATCAACAATCAACCCTAAATTTAACCTTTAATTGTAATTGTGATGACGTTGGTTATGATGGCGATGATGGTAAAACTATGATTGTTAAATTTAAATTGTGATTTCGTTGATAAGTCCTTAAATAAAGTGTTTCAATGTTATCAAATTATTTTAATCAACCAAATGTCATTTAATCTTAACCTTAGTTAACTTTGCTGTTAATCAACTTGGCAATCAAACTAAACAATTAACCTTGACCCTTGGAAAAGACTTTTAAATTTGCCAAATTATTATAATCCTATTTATAGATAATCATTGATCTTTCTCAGTTTTAATTGTTAATTTAATTTATTTCCTAAAAGCATCACAATTAACAAAAAAATCAATTTCTCTGTGTAAATGTAAATCAAAGTTTTTTTCTCGAAGTTCGAGTTGAACATTTCGATCGTAGAAACTTGAAAACTTAGTTTCGAACAAGTTTTTCTATGAAATTATCATTGATCGAAATCAACTAATTCAGTTTATCGATAATTAATCACCTAAATGTCAATCTAAATGTTATTCATTTGTGTGATTAATTATCATTGATCAGTAACGATTAACATAATCACTTAATTGTCTTTTTTTTCACAACGAAATTAAAACAATGATACTAATTGTTTTCTAACAATTCAGTTGAATTACAATCTAACCTTTTATTGAGAGAAAGAGTAATTAACCAAATGAAAAGATCGAAAAGATAATTAATTGTACAAATGAAAAGAAAATGAATTAGTTAATTGTAGATCAATTAATCGGATTGAAAGAGTAAATTTATCGATATCGTTTTGTTTACATTACGTTTCTTTGTTTATGTTTACTTTTTATCTTTTTTCATTTGCTGTTTATGAGATCATCTTATTCATATGATTAATATGATTTATTTTTCTGTTAATTAATTAATTTAATTTCTGTTCATTAATTTGATTGTAATTAAGTTTCTATGTTCTTACCTTGAAAAGTGAAGGATTTTTGTTTATCTTGTTGTAATATTTTGTGTAGGAAATGATCATTGATGAAACTTCAGGTAACCTTACATATTTATATTTAGAAAAGATTAGTTATTTTTATGTTATGTTGTATTTGTTAATTTGATCTTAATTATATTGTGATAATCAGTCAAGTTAATTAATTACATCACCTTCGTTTTGATTTAATCAACAAAAATCAAGGTTTTATCATAAGAACAACAAAATTATGATTCTCTTTGGAAAGGAATTCAACAGGTAAGAGAATAATTTTAATTCTTTTGGAAGTTAATTGTTGATCAATTAATTTCTCTCTCTCTCTTGTTTTCAATCATGGAAAAAGTAATTAGGTAATTTGATCAACAATTTATCTAATTATCGATTGTTAAAATGTTACCAAAGAGAAAAGAGAAAAAAGTAAATTCTATTCTCTTTGTAGAATTTACTTTTTATTCTCTTTTCTTCTCTGTCTATTCTTCTGTCTTTTCCTTTTCTCTTATCAACCGATGAACCATTTTGATTATTTTCTTTGTTTTCTTTTATTTAGAATTTGTAACAATTAATCTTTGTCTATTATCTTGACCTTTTGATTAATTTTTTTCTTCTTTTCTTTTTCCATCTTATAGTGTGTGCGGGAAAATTGGAGAAAATGTTAATCGGTCAACTCTTTCTAACGGATATCAACTTATCGCCATTTTGCCTAATTGAATTTCTCTCTCTCTCTTTCTTTTAGTTTCCCTCTCAAGTGATTCTTAAGTGATTAAGTTATACATTTTTCCCTCTCTCACTATTTCATCTTTCTCTTCAATATATTTCTCATTGTTAACCAGTTATATTTTTATTATTTTGTGATAATCATCACAAAACAATCAAGTTAACTATTGATCAACATTTCAAGTGATTTAAGGATTCATGGTTAGTTGAAACGGATTGGAAATGGTAAACCTGATTGGTTAGTTGTTTTTCATGTTTCCATCATTGTTTTGCTCCTCCCTGTATTCATGGTACCGCGAAACTTTACCCACTCTCATCTTCATCGTTTTCTCTCTCTCACTCTCTCATTTCAATTCATCATTTCATTTTCATTTCTCTTCTCATTTCTACAGAATTTATGTGAGTGAAGGTTATAAAGTATTCATGTTAAATCTATTGTAACAAAAGGGGTAGATTGGAATCAGTGAATAAAAAAAGGTAGGTTGATATTGGATTACCAAGTTTCAATTTTTGCTCCATAATTAATTTTATTCCTCAACTGAAAGTTCATTTAGTTGATTTTTTTCTCTCTCTTTTCTCTTGTTTCTCAAGTTTTCTATTGTATGTTTACAATCAATCAGCTTTGATGTTACTATTAATACCTTTCTCTAATTTCCTTCTCCCTTCTCTCTCTTTCTCTCTCTTTGTTTTCACAGGTTTAAAGTCTCGTCTCTTTCTCACTATCAATTGATGTGAATAATATTCCAAAGGTGGTTAATTTAATTGATTACTAGTTTTTTTCCTCTCTCTCTCCCTCTCCCTCAATACTGAATTTCTATTCAATTGGTTACACGTTATTCTTGCAAGTCTAGTTTTTCTGTACCACTGATGGACCTTGTGTGATTCTACAACAAAGTGTTCATGTTTTACCATGTTTTCCATCATTTATCATGGATAAATTTTTTACTCAATGAATGTTGACAACGGAACAAGAAGTAAATTCACAAAAGGCAAGACCGTTGAAAAGGAATCAAAGAGGGAAAAGAAAAACATTGACTATTATCACATGAGGAGGTTCAACTAATTTAATAAAGATCGAGGTTAACGAGGTGATACTTAACGACTCTTTATAATTGACATTGCGTTTTTCCAGAATTCATCTTTAATTTCATCTTCATCATTTTGTCAAGTTTGTGCAACTATTTTCTCATGAGAAGTTTAAATTAATCAACAATCAACTGCTCGGTTCCAATTAACTAACTTATAATATTTTTTTCACATTTTGTTTTTTACTCAATTTTGTGATAATCATCATTAGTGGGATTGATTTAAAACAAAGACAAGGAAAAACTTGAACAATCTTCATTTATCGTGCCATCACCATCACCTTAGTCATAATTAAACCATCCTCAATTAATAACAATCAGAGGCAGAAAGAAAAATGTGATTAACAGCAACAATAATCAACCTCATGTGTTCATTTCTGGAAAAAAAACTACAGTTTGTTGTGGAAACTTTTGCATATCTTTGAACTTTCATTCTGAATTTTTCTTTCTCACTCTCTTTTTCTGATACAAGTTTGTATGAGATAGTAAATTAACACAAAAGAGAACAAAATTGTTTTGTTTAATCAACTTTTTCTTTCTCTCACATTTTCTATGTGACCGAAACAATCGACACAACAAGAATCAGCATCACATTTCGCTGGTTATCATTTGAAACGATATTTTTTTTACTATTCAAAAGTTTCATCATTATAAGTCAACCTTTGTCTACCTTCCCATCATAATCATCATCAAATCATCAACAATCATCTGTTTCTTCCTGGTGTTGTCTTTTTTTCTCCCTCTCTCACCACCACCACAACAACAAAAGCCATGTTTTCCTATTATGCTTTAGAGACATGGTTATTCTCATTTTTTGCTCTTCTCTTATTAGGGTTCATCATTTTTTACACCAAACGATTGATCACTATTCTAACGGATATGAGAAAATCGAACAAAAAAGTCTCCTACAAGCCATGGGAAATGGAGAGTAAGTTGGAAAAGAAATCATCAATCTTCACAATCTTTGGTCGCAAACAGACAACAACATTTTGATGAGAGATACAAGTACAATCACAGACAAGATACATATTCACACAGACCCAAAAACTAAAACAAATCAAATCCAATCAGCTCAACTGAATTACTCTATTTCTCTCTTGCTCTCTACCAAGTGAATGATAAAATGTATAACATTTATCATGATGTAACAATAACTTAGCTTGTGTGTATGTGCTGAATGAAGCGTTCATTGTGTTGCTAGTGCTTCTTCCTCTTCGTATTTCTCATTCCCCTTGAACTCTCTCGTCTATTTATTTATTTATTTTATTTCCTCTTTATCTCTCTAACAATCTACCCCACCCTCTGTGTTTAAATGGCCTCATGTGTTCCGTGTACATTACAGTCAACGTTTCCTATTGTAGATCCGAAGATTTGTATATTATTGTTGATGATTATGGTTTGATGTTTGCATGAATAATAATCATTCATATGTGTAGACATCCTTCAATTTTCATCAATGCATTTCGTTCATCTCTTGCTGTTATTGTTTTAACAACCGATTACATTTGATTTATATTTTTCAATACAATCAATTGCATAAGATATCGTCTCCCTTTCTCTCCCCATCATCATAATCAACTTTATTCTCACTCAAAGTTAACAACAATTACCTTAATTTTTTTCCTCTTGATGTCAATAAGCCATGAAAATGTTACCTTCCCTCTATTTTACCGTTCAAACGATTAACTTAATTCTTTTCATCATTCAACTGATGAATACAATTGTTAGTGATTTTATTATTATTCTTTGTTTTGGATTTTATTCCACATGAAAAATCACAAGAATACGAAGATTAATAATAAGAAATGATGACGAAACTGATGATGATAAAAAGCTTCAAGAGATGAACAAGGTTAATGTTGCTGTTAATCAACCTTGAAATCGTATTGTTCAAATTACGATTTTCAAATGACAAGGTGACAAACCCACGAACCCCAACTGTTCATCCCAATAGAAAATCAAACAATTCTTATTATTATCTTAACACTTGAGGCCACAAACGATGTGTTAACTTATGATGTAGATGAGTTTAGATAGACGGAAGAAAAATGCTTAATTGTTATGAAGAGAACTTAATTAAGCTGCTATTGTACATTCGCTACGTTTCAATCGTCTGAGCAATTAATCAATTGTTGTCTTAGCTTCCATTTTCCTGTCGCTTGTTGGTTTTTGTATTTCGAGCCAATTTCAATTAACTTGTATTTTTTTTCTCTTTTTTTCTAGAAAAAGTTGCCAAAGGTAAAGTTAAAGTACCAAGACGATTTGGACCAATTAAGGGACTTGTACCTGTTCGAGAATCAGCTATAACTACCAAAAAGTCGAAACAATTAAAATCATTACCTTCCAATCGTTTGGATTCCGTTGATGGTATTGCTACAATTGAAGGAGCTCTAAGTCGTAGTTCATCTGTTGGATCCGGAATTAGTTACGAGACAACCACAACTAATTCAGAATTTTATCGAGAAAGTCGACTATCTGTTAGTGAGATGGTTAAAGAAGAGGGATCATGGATTAGTCAATTAATGGTCGATCAGAATCAGAATTCTGTTAAAAATAACCTTCAAGCTCACATTAGTGCTGCCGCTGTCGAAAACTTATCCGCTAATTTGCCAAAAACTGTTGCTAATGGTAACACAGTTAATCATGAAAACAACAATAGTACCACCGTAACCGCTAACGGTAAAGTTAAAACGATACATGATGACACGATAAATAGAAACACTAAAAATAAGGAGACCAAAGAAGATGATAATAATAACAACAATAACAATAATTACAAGGAAAAAATAACCAACGGTGGGGTCATTTTGGTCACTCCAGAGATCAACAATTTACCTTTCTCGAATACCCATAAATACTATTCACCATCTAATCAACAGTCAATCCGTGATTCTAAATTAACTTTACCAATGGAGCAAAACGATGATCACATTGAAGTGATTAGTAAAACAATTCCCGTTCTTGATGAATCATTTACTTCATCATCGACAACAATTGAAGGAAACAATAGATCAACAATTACCAAAACAACGAGTAAAAAAGTTATCGTAACCGAAGTATCAAAACAAAGGAAACTAGAAAATCGTATTGCTGCATGAAAAGAAATCCGAGTGATTTAACAAACCATCAACAATTAAGTGAAATTTAAATCATCTACATATTTATTTTTTGATTTGATTTACTTTGTGAATTAATATCTAATTTGGATTATAAATTTAAATGGTATAATCAAGGTTCAGTACTTCATCATGATAATAATTATAACGATTGTAATGATTGACTATGAGGAAAAGCACAATTTCCAATTGTCTTGATACGTAATTAACTAATCAACATTTTTTTATACAAATTATTGGAAAACAAAATTGTGCCAATTTATGACAATTTAGTTAACTAAAAATTCATCAAAAAGTCAACCTACCTGAGTGATAAATGTAACCAACTATTCATACATTTATTTTCTAATAATTTCTATTCCAGTTTTTAATTAACCATAGAACCGGTTGTTATACTTTCGTTTTTGTTTTGTATGGATCATTAATTAATCACAATCAAATCTGGATCATCATCATCATCATCACCGCAACAATTGAGAATCGTAATCATATTGTCATTTTTGTACAATTCTCGATAATTTTTTCCAATGTTAAATTCAAGGAACGACGATCAATCACAATTAACGTAATTTTCATCTACATTTAAAAGATGAAACTGGTTCCAATTGATTAGTCAAACAATTAGCTAACCAAATTTTTACTTGTGTAATTGTAAATAATACAATTTAAATGACAATCAAAACAGTTTTTCCCCAAACTTTTGATTAGATAAAAATTTAATGAATTGTATCCAAATGTGTCTAATTGAATCAAAGCAAAAACAGTAACAATCAAGTGAAAATCAAAGTCTCGTCATTATGTAAATCAAATTGTTTATTAAATTAAAATTAAACATAAGCAAAAAAATAAAAAGTTTTAATTGTTTATTCAAAAAACGATCAACAAAAGTGGTGCCATCTTGTGGTTACAATTATCACTTTTTTGAGAATGGAATCGAATTAGATTTTCTTAATTATTTCGGTGGTTAAATGGTCTGAATAATTGTGATCTCCACGCGTTAACAGTTAATGGTAACATTTTAGGCGCTTGCCTGATGAAGGTTCGTTTAGTTACACTTGGAGTTAAGGTATTGGTGAAATAATGACGAATTATTTTAACGAAAAGTTCTGGTTCCATTTCTTTAGAGTCCCGTTGGTTAATTCTTGGACTTTGTGAATGGACAATCTCTTCAATGGCATAAGGTACACTTGGATCATTATTTGGACGTGGTTGGTAATGTCCAACAATCGGAGGTTGATATTGACCTGCAACATTATTACGGACATTTACTGGAGGTGGAGGGCTGGGGATTTTTACATTTTGTCCTCGAGTGTTAATTATGTTTCCAGTATTCTGATTGTTGTTAAATCTGTTGTAATTATATTGTCCATTTGATTGAGGAGGAAGTGGGTGTTTATAAATATTATCTAATATCATTGGTTGAATAGGCTGAATAGGCTGAATAGGCTGAAGTTGAGGTTGTGGTTGAGGTTGTGGTTGGGGTTGGGGTTGTGGTTGGGGTTGTGGTTGGGGTTGGGGCTGGGGTTGGGGTTGGGGTTGACGTTGATTGCTGTTATGATGCAATAATTTTTCAATTTGTTTAAGTACTAATGGATTGATCGGTTTAATTGTTTCGGGTTTGATTTGATTATTTTCTGTTCTCCTTTCATTATTTATCTCAATATCGTTGTTTCTTGAGCTTTGATTGTTTGGTTTAAGTCCTTCAGGAGTCCAAACTGTCTCTGGAACAGGTCGCAATTTAAAGTTCACTTTATCCGATAATTCATCAACAAGTGAATTCAATTTCGGATCAGGTTTGCTGGTTGTTGGTGCTTCAGAAACTGGACTGGATGTTGAGGTTGAGGTTGAAGGTGGAACAGCTCGAGTGACAAGAGGAAGGCTCGTAGTTGTACTTATTGAATTTGTAACATTCGTTTTAAAAGTAGATGCAGTTGGCTCAGATACAATCGGTGTAGTTTTAGTGTCATTGGTCGCGTTGATTGACAAATCGGAGACATTGAAACTTTTCGAGGTTTGATTGTTAAAATTTGCAATCAAAGCTCTTGTATCACTATTTGAAAAGACATTCGTTTCGTTGTTATTTTCGATATTTGTTTTGTTTACTACACAAGGCGGTGGACTGTCCGTTGTTACATTCTGACTTCCTCGAGCTTTTTCAGGTCATTAACATCGGAAGATAAACTGAGACCAGCCAACATTTTACGTACTTCGTTTTCATTCATGTTCATAGAATCAACAGGATAAATAACTGGCGGTGAATTGTTAAATGAATGGATAATCTTAGTAACCATTGTGACGTTAAAATCAGTTTCATTGTGGAACTGGACAACCGGATTAATGAGAATACTATAACTTGGTAGCGCGTTTAAAAATGACCTCAATGTATCGGGCATTTGATAGTCAGTTACATTAGGTTTCTCTTCATTTGAATCATCAACATCTAAGTTTCGCTCCTGTTTTCCATTGCTATTAAGCACTTTTGAGGAATTATTTAGTTGACTTGAATAATTAAGTTTCGGCTTTTCAGTTGTCCCATTTTCAGTTAGATTTTTATTATTATAAGAATCGTTGGGAGGGTCAATTGCTGTACTGTTACAATTAATCAGAGGTATTATCACAATTAGAATTGAAATAAGTTTACCAACTGGATGAAAGTGGACACTTTTCAATGGAGAAATCATAATTTTGATTAATCACTTTTTCATTTATACATGAGAAACAATCAAAACAACGCAATCAAATCAATTATTATTGGGACTGTGAGTGTAGAGAAAATTAATTTCTTATCAACAATCAATTGCTGGCACATTGATTTCACTAATTAACTATAAAAAAAAGTTAATCAAGTGGTTTGTTAAAAGGATAATTGCTGTTCCAAACAATTTAACATCACCATTGCAATTAACTTATTGTAATGTTGATAACAACTTGCAAAGTCAATCAAATTTTGCTTAATTGTTACATTAAGTTTTTAACTCTTCCCATTAAGAAATTGCAATTGACTAGAGGAAGAAAAAAACAATCACAATTAACTGATTCATTTTGACAAATGTCACAACAAATTAGTCCAGTTTACTTATAGCCCGTTAATCAATGGACAATAATGATTAACTAAATCAGTATTATTGATAAAAAAAAAGGTTCACATTTAACCTTTGATGAAGTGATTGTATTCATTAGATTGGACAACAACAATTAACTAAATTGTTACGAAAACGCCGCCATCTAGTAAAACAACTAATCACTTGTTACTAATCAAATTGATCATTGGAACAGTATAATTATAAAAACTTTTAATTAGTATTGATCAATTAATCTCTGTTGTAATTTGATTTTTCTTTGGCGATTTTAATTTAGTAACAACAATGAATTAACTTGTAATCTATTGATAATTTCAAGTCAATTTCTAAGTGAAAAAAATGTAACGTAAAATTTTCACGATTTTACGAGAATTGTTAGTAAATAGGATTATTGAATTAAAGATATTTAACTTTTACAATTAGATTTATGATGGAAACAATTTAGTAATGGTTACATGTTTTGGAAGAGATAAACTTTATCAATGTTTAGAAAATGATTTACTTCCAAATAATCAACCATGCAGACAGAAAATACTACACAGCATATAATCGGGTTACTCTCATTTTCCAGAATTGAATTGAATTTGATCAACAGAATCTCAGAGTTTCTATTCTCCCAAGAATTTTCCTTTCATCTTAGATGAGCATATTTCCATGATAATATCATTTCATTCAGTTGAACTGAATCATACCTGGAGAGAGAGAGAGAGAGGAATTATAATGATGATATTATCTTCGACGATGATGAACATTCACCATGATTCTGGAGTCAACTCGAAACTTTTAATCTTTAACTCATCTTTTAAGGCTCATAACAATTAGATTAATCAAATGAATCATCTAAAAGACTGAAAGTGATTCCAATATAATCGAGAAACAAAACCATCCAAATGATTAACATACTAATGTAATTATTGTTACGATGAAATGATCAACAGAAATGTTATACACTTTGGTATGTTGATAGATTTCAAGTGAATACCCCCTGACAATTAACATTGTATTCGGTAGATTTATCGTTTATTAAGTGACATTATTTAAAGAATGCTATGATAATTAACTCGCTCTAAATGTAATTCTGTTGTAACTTTTTAAATTCTCAGAAATTTCTTCACACTAATTGTTACCAATCACTCAACTCACTGGGAGTTGATTAACATCACCAACTAGTAGATTAACACCATATGAGAATAACTTACTGAGGAAACAATTAAGTAATTCAATAGCAACCAGACAATTAAAATAATAGTCGATAAAAACACTTGGTTAAGTTAATTGCTAAGTTCATTATTTTAATTGCTGTTTATTTAATGATCATTTCAAAGGGGAAAAAATTAACAAAAAAGTAACAATAAAACTGCCGAAAAAGAAATAAATTTACTCCAAAGATATTGATACGAATATAATTTTCTGTCAACTAACTAAATTAATTGAGAGAAATTAGATTTTAAATATAATTTGATTATCATCTTTATCTTCATCCCCTTGATCATCATCTTCATAATTTTCATCAATTTCAGCGCATTCTCATGAGTTCTGAATGAATCTGAATTCAGTTCTTACTTTTTGTCTCATGTTGATCATTTGATGATTAACCTTCAATCCATTCAAGTCATTGGAAATTTAATTGTATAATCAAGTTTAAAATGCTTTACAATGATTGTCTACCATCAATTTAAAAGTTAATCACAATTAAAACTTAAAGTTCACTTAAAGTATTTATAGTATTTAAAGTTACCAAGACATCAGGTTAATTGTTTGGGAAACTTTGATTAACTGGTTGTTGACGATTTAATTTACTGTGTGAACAATTTGTTACTAATCACTGAACATTTAATCACCAATGAATAATTCAACAATTAACGGGACAAATTCAATTCGTCAAGCTTGGCTTCGATTCCTTCATCCTGATCTAATTACATTGGCACCCGATTATTGGCTTAATTTTGAACCAATTTCGTGTCAAGTTAATTTAACAATCGCTGCGATTTTCACAGTTGTCTTAATCATTGGATTAACTGGTAATTTAACAATAATTTACCTTTATTGTAGGTGAGTGAAAATTTCGATTAATTTTTTTATTAGAATGACTAATTGTTCTGTTTAATTGTAACAATTAAAGAGTAAAAGCACTTCGAAATGGCCGAAATACAATCAGTTTGAACATCGCAGTTTCCGATCTAATCATGAACGGGGTAATTGCGGCCTACGTTTACAATAGTACTCAATGTGGATCAGCATTAACACCATTGGGTGAGTAACAATTAGCTAATTGTAAGAAAATCCTTGACCTTCTCACTTGAATCAGTTTAATTACAATGATAATAAATTGTAGTTGTAAACATTTGGTTGATCACAAAAACCTTGATGATATAAGATGATGGTATTATTATTATGTAGTATTTACAGTTAATCAATAAGCCTGTTGATTGATTTAATTAACATGAACTTGAGATGATTTAATTTTGTTCTTTAAACTATATTTAGAAACAATCAAGGCCTTAAGTTCCAACAATTTAATTTTACAAGCACAAGTTGCACAACAATTAACCTTAATTATAGACTATGGTAAAATCAGATGAGACAAAATTTTGTAGTCTTTTTTTATTGATTGATTATTGGAACAATTTAATTCACTGGATTCATGATTAAGGTGATAATAAATTTGTTTCCATGTTGATTAATATTCCGTTTAATTTATTTCTTTTGATTATCAAATCAAACCAATGAAGTTTAAACTGATTGAAAGTGAAAATTAAATCATCTCATTGATTAAAAAATTGCAATCATTTGGGAATTGATTATATTTAAAGTTTAATTAGATTTGGAGTTAATTGAATTTCTAACTAATAACCTTGATTGTTAGCTCATTGTGATGGGAATGATGATCGTAATTAATTGTAAATCTTGACATTAGACAAAAGTGATTAGTGATTTGAATTTATAACTCTCAAAGCTTTTGTTTAAACATTTGAAACACTAGATTTAGTTGATTAATTGTTAAATCAACCAATCGAGGTGTGATTAGATTAAATTTCCTGATTATCGTTTAAATTTAGTCCAGTTTCACTCTAATCCGTTGAATTATCAACGTGACAATTGATCTAATTGCTTCCAATTTCCTAGTAATCAACAATTAGATTTGATATTAACACTATTGGGATCATATTGATTGTAATTTAAATCAATTTGAAATCTGCAATTAGAGTAAAAGGAATTAAAAATTAATAATCTCTTCTGTCGGAAGCAAGTTAATCGTAACAATTTAACTAGACAATTACATCAATCTCTGAGTTATAATAACTCAGAGCAATTAATAAATTGTCCAAACATTAGGAATAATAAAAATATCTATTGATCAATTGATATATGAAAAAAATGTTCATCTTTTCAAATGGAAAATGTTTCATTGTTTTCAATTCTGATTGAATGAATTTTTGATTGAACATGATGATAAATGAAAAACAAAACTGAAGCCATCAAGATGATTACATTGGATTGAATTAAAGATGAGGATGAAGATGATGATGGAAGATTGAATTGTAATATCTTCCACTCAACTGTAAGAATGATAATAATCAACCTCTTGAATAGTTTCATAGATTTTATCTTCTTCATGATAATATTAACCATCTCATAGATTCACAAGTATATATCATCATTTTCATCCCATTATCATCATTGTCTTTTTGCTGAATCAGACATTGAAAATTGAAATTAATGTTGACATTACCTTGATGATGTGCTAAAAAATTGGTTAAGAAAAAAGTTCAACAATCAAGAAGATGGTGAACAAAATCAACTTTAATAATCAGAAACAATTTAGAATGAGGAAAGAAAAAAATGAATCAAATCTTTAATTTGATTAGTGAAAATCAAACATTTCAACGTGATTTAATGTACTGGTATAATCACCGTCATCAAGACTAATTACAATTGATAATGAGAATGGTTGATTTATCTGTCAACTGAATTAACCAAATCAAGTTAATGATAATGATGATTAAGATAATGATTAAGTTCATCGAGGTGAAGATGGAAATGTAATGAAAGGTAAATTGGATGATAAATAATATGATGATCAATTGGATAATTGTGATGCAGAGAGAGAGAGAGAGAGAGAGTAAAAAATGCTAACATTTTAATCATCATGTTTATAATTCTGATATTCATCATGTTATCATCTCAAGAATCATTGGAATTCAACATTTTCAGAACTTGAGATCATCTTTTATCAACATCATTCTCATAATGAGGAGAAACCGTTGAACCAAAGTCTTTGAAATCATATTAACTTTATATGTTAATTGGGATTCAAACTGATAGACAACAGAAATATAATTAATTTAGTTGAGATTCAGTTAATTGTCATGGTTAAATTCAGTTGACAAAGTGTTAACATCCATACTAAATACCCAAGTTTAAAGACAAAAGATAAGTTTGTTTTAATTGTCGAGATGGAAAATCAGTCAAATAAAATTTTCAGATTTTCCCATGAAAATGAAATCAATCAATTATTTTCAGATTAATTGTATCTGTTCATTGGTCAGGGGAAAATATTAGTTAAAACTAATCAAATTGATTCCTTTCTACCTTCAATAATGTAATCAAATCGCAAGGTTAACTAGTCAGCCAGGAAAATACAGTTAATGGTTAACCAGCAATTTAACTCTTGTATTCAGAAATACGGAATTTTTTTATCAAGGTTATCATCAGGTAGCGATAATAATAATGTTGTTAATATTTAGAATACAAATTGTTCAGTGTTGATATTAAGGAGTAGAAGGTGATTAATATAAGGATCGTATTCATTTACCTGGAAAAAAATGTTACCTAACAAAATGATAACATTAATATTTCAATTACTGTCAAATCCATTGAGGAATCATTTTTGAATATTAGATTGCCAGGAGCATTATGATCATGGTGTTGATGATTAAG